CACCTCACACCACCGACACCACCTCTGTCCACCACCACCACCCACCACCTCTCTCCACCACCACCTCCCTCCACCACCACACACACACAGCTTGTGCTGGCGAGCCAACCTTGTTTTTTGGACCGTGCAGGCGGCCGCCACAGCTGAGGCCGAGGCCGAGGCGGCGCAGAATGCGGCACAGACGGTGGCGCGGGCGGCGGCGGAGCTGGCATCGCAGGCGCAGGCGCAGGCGCAGGCGCAAGAGGCCCGCGCCACTAGATGCTGCGTACAGGTCCCTGCACGTGGGCTAGCACTCTCGAGCAGCCATACGACTCTCGTATGACATTCGTGTTGACGCACCGGGCTCGCCCTCCCGCTTCGCTGCCCCTCCGGCCAGCCCCGGGCGTTGACCGAGATTCGCCGAGGTCGCAGGCGGCGTTGTACTCGCTCCGCCAGCAACGCGGCCCGACAGCGGCGGCGGCACCCGAGGTCTCGACCTCCAGCTGTGAGTGCGAGCAGCGACTCTTTCACGCGCCTCGCTGGGACGGATAGGCGGGCCGCAACGCGCCGCAGCTCGGCGTCTTTGGAAGCAATCCCGGCGGGCGGCGCCGCGGGCGGTATGACTAGCGCCTCCGCCGCCGCCGATCCTCTCGTTTCTCCCTTTCTGCGACTGTTCCGCGATGTCTGCCCCGCGACCCATAGCGGCGGTGGGCTCTCTACTGGCGGCTCCCTGTTGATTCGGCCCCGGCCTCTGATGCGGCGGCCGTTGCGTGACCCCCCGGGCGCACATAGCATCCGCGCACCCCCACCGTTGGGCGCATGCGTTCTTCATCTCTCGGCTCCCTCCCCGTTCTTGCTTGAGTCGCAGTCTCTCGCCGGCCTTTGTTCGTCCGGTGATCCTTATCGTTTATGCGTCTCCGTTCCCCCGCCGGCTCTCGGTCCTCGTTCCCCGCTGTATCCCCACGGAGCCCGGTCAGCGGTCTCCTACTGGCTACTCCTTCCCCCTTACATAGAAACATTCTCTAGTAGGACGGGAACGAGATGATAGTAGGGAGTAAGAAGAAAGCAAAGAGGAGCCCTGCGCACGCACGACTCCGCAGGAGAAAGCGCCCCTCCCCAGACAAGAAACACCAGGGAGAGGTGGGTGGGTCACAGAAAACTGCGGCCGCCAGCGACAGAGCGTCTGGCTGGCGGACGGCGAGAGGAAGAGTCAAGAGAAAGGGACGTACGGACGTCCATCCACTGGGATGAGAATACTGGAGATCTGAGGTCGAATCTGCCGATTCCACAGCCGCCCACAGGAGCGCCGCCTCAACACGGGGTCTCGGCTCTACCGAGCCATGCTAGCTCCAGCCGCAGCCCCACCCGGCCGCCCGAGGGTGTTCCCGCAGGCAGAGAAGACCAATCCTGGGGGAAGTAACCTTCTCTGGTAGGACGGGAACGAGATGATAGTAGGGAGTAGAAGAAAGCAAAGAGGAGCCCTGCGCACGCACGACTCCGCAGGAGAAAGCCCCTCCCGCCCGTGCTTGTGCAGCGCAGCCTCCTCCTCCCTACTCGCAAGCCGGTTAGCACACGTTTGGTGATTATCTTGGGTTCCACCCTGTGGTGATTATCTTGGGTTTCACCCTGTGGTGATTATCTTGGGTTCCACCCTGTTGGTGATTATATTGGGTTCCACCAAGTTGGTGTTTATATTGGGTTCCACCCTGTTGGTGATTATATTGGGTTCCACCCTGTTGGTGATTATATTGGGTTCCACCCTCTGAAGCGCGCCTTATGCGGTCAGTTGTCGCGAAGGCAGCGGCCGCAGTTGGTTGAGCGGGACGCGCGCGTCCGCGGCGCGATGCCGCCCGCCTTCGCGATCGCCACCTGGTTGTCGGCGTTGATAGCGAGGTTCCCCAGCGCCCCCGCGGCATACTCCTTCTGCCCGCCCGTGCCGTCGCGAGCCAGCGCCACCAGCGGTACGATGCCGCCCGCCTTCGCGATCGCCACCTTGTTGTCGGCGTTGCGAGCGAGGCATCGTAGCGCCGCCGCGGCCTCCTCCTTCTGCCCGTCCGTGCCGCCGCTAGCCAGCGCAACCAGCGGCGCGATGCCGCCCGCCCTCGCAATCGCCACCTGGTTGTCGACGTCGTTGTAAGCGAAGTACCCCAGCGCCACCGCGGCCCGCTCCTTCAGCTTGTCCCCTCCGATGCTCAGCTGCAGCACCAGCTCCGGCACGTCGGACATACTCAGGCTGTCCTCTGTCAACGCTGCCTCTGCCCGCTTCATCATTGCCGGGACAACACTATTCGAGATCGCCCGCGCGTGTTCCTCCTTCGCCCGCGCGTGTTCCTCCACCGCGCTCGCCGCCTGCCGCGCCGCCACCTTCCACCTGTTCCCATCGCCCGCCTTGGCGTCGTTCTCCGCCTCCCACGCGGCCAGCTCGGCCTCAGCGCGCGCAGCCGCTGCCTGGCTCGCCGCAAGCTCGTCCTCTATCTGCCGAGCGACCTCGCTAAACGCGCCCTGGACCACCGCGTCGAGCTCCTTGATCTTCGGCAGCTGCCCCTTCTTGTCGCTCTGGTTGGTCACGGTGACGTCGGGCTTAGAGAGGAAGGCGTGCGCCTGCTCCGGCGTCTTCGTCGCCCAGCTCTGGATGAGCATCTTCTCGTGCAGCTCGGATTGCTCGGCCGCGTTCTGGATGCAAACAATATGGTGCCGCTCGTTCTTGGTGCCCACCGCCGGTTTGAGGCCGTCAGGCGTCGCGAACTGCATGGACATCCACGACTCAAACTGAGTCCAGAAGCGGGACACGTACGAAAGGTCAAGGAGGATCAGGACGGTGGTGCCGAGGTAGAGGCGGTTCACCTCCTTGAGCATCCTCTTGAAGGCGGCCGAGTCCTCCGCGCTGCGCGAGCCCTTGGGGTGGTCCTGCGGCATGCACGCCGAGTCAATCCAGACGCGCTCAATCTTCTTGCCGTCGGGCGAGTTGAGGAAGCCCTTGAGCGCCTTGAGCTGCTCGCCGTCGGGGTCCGGGTCGTCCGGCTGCATCCAGCGGTGCGAGACCGCCAGGGTCGTCTCAATGTGGGTGCCCTTCACCACATCCGCGTAGTCGAGCGACACTTCGACGAGCGGCTCGTCAGTGGTGTACTTGTCTCGGATCTCCTGGAAGAAGGGCAGGCTCTTGCCGGGGTACTGGCGCACAAAAGCAGCGTCCAGCATGAAGAAGGTGCACGCGTGGGCGCTGCCGTCGTCATCGGACAAGGACTGCTAAAGAGACGCCCGAGGCGATTGCGAGGGGCTGCGAGTCACGCATTAGCGGAGAGCGTGTGCCTGTTCTTAGATCTAAGCTACCCGGCCCTGGCTTGAGGGTTTGTGAGGTTGACAACTGCACTCCAAGTGCCAACCGCTCCTTGCCTCAGAGAAAACACTTTCCGAAGCCAACCAACACTCAGATAGCAGAAAGGCGACGTGGTCATCGCGCGTGCTGCCATGCGCCGAACGAACGAACGAAGCCGCCAATCGGACGGAGTTCCGCGCCGATGTAAAACTTCCTGAACTTACATGCGAGAATGGTATACTACCCGGGGAAGGTAGTACCGCGTCGCGGACCGGGACACGAAAGTCTAGAAAGAAAGCTGTGGTCACGCGGGCTCGGTCGGATCCACGCGCAAGCAGAGCCGTAAAAGCGCTCGACTACACGCAGCCAGCACTGCCGCAGTGCTGGCCAGCTCTCAAGCTTCATGCCGCAGGATAGCGGGACCTCCACTACGGCCGCTCCAGAAGAAAGAAAGCTGCTGAGCCCAAATCACTGTGAGTGAGTGCCAGCCAGATTTCTGGTTCTACTCGAGTAAAAAATCCCCTCCAGCGGACGTCGCCGTGGCGAGGTGCATGCGGGAGATCCCTGGCTTCTTCACGGGGGTGTATGTGTATCGGACGGCAGTCAAAGCTGTCAGCCCCGAAAAAGCACGACAAAGGAATTTTTTTTTCATGCCGGTCAACCCAGCCGGAGCAGCGTTCAGCTGTTTTCCAGCTGGAAAGTACCTCGTGCTGTGCAGCCAGAGCCTCGCGCTGGTGCCGCCTCAGGTTCTGAGACGTATCGGATTCCACACAACTATGGCACTTGTCCTCCTCGGCAGCTCGTTCCTTGCCGCACCATGGACACATGCAAGCGATTGGCAGGAGCCCATCCAATGCACGACGGCCGTCGTTGGAGGTGGCTGGGCTGGCGTGTACTCGGCGTGGCGGCTCGCTCTTGACGCCGCTGCAGCCGACGCGTCTTCGGTCTGCCTATTCGAGGCGCGTCAGGCGGTGGGTGGCCGCACGTACTCGGTGGACTTGGACGGGCTGACCATCGACATCGGCGCATATCGCTTCGGCATGAGTATGCACCTGCCCGCCGACCTGATCGTCAATCATTTCAAGCTGAAGACCGTCTGCTACGAGCCCTCCTGCTCCCCGGACGCCGAGATGAACGCCACCCTCTACCGCATCGTCGCCGCCGACGGCCACAACGCCGGCTACGCCACACCCGTCCGGGCCATGCTGCGCGAGGCGCTCGGCCGCGGCGTGCGGGTCTTCTACCGGCACGAGCTCACGGGCATCTACGACGGAGGCGGCGACGCCCTCGCGGAGGGCGGCGCCTCGCTGCTCCACTTTGCAGGAGGCGGCGTGGCCCGCGCTTCAGCCGTCCTCCTCAACCTGCCTCGCCAGGCGGTAGAGCGGCTCGACCCGGCGTCCGTCGTGTTCGACAGGGGCCCGAGCAGACGGGCGAAACTGGCGACGACCATCCTGACCAACTGCACGCCCTGCCAGGCGGGCCCTGTCGCCGAGGCGCACGAGGATGTCAAGGTGTACGCCATCTACGACCATCCGTGGTGGGTCAGCAAGCTCGGCCTTGCAGAGGGAACCTTCGCGTCGGTCGACGCCGACCCGCCACTGGTGGGGCGATATCACGACGGACCGATCCGTCGGAGAGGCAAAGACGCCCCCGGGCCAGCGGCGCTCGAGGCGGTCTACACCTTCACGCTCGAGCACCCGCAGGTCAAGTGGTACTTGCCCTTCGTCCGCAACCTCGCGGGCGAGCCGCTGACCGTCACCACCGACCCCGCCCTCCTCCTCCCCCTCCACACCCGACTGATGGACTACCACCGCGCCGCCTTCGCTGCGCGAGGCTGCAACGCGACCGCCCCTCCTCCTCTCCGGCGGGAGAAGGTTCCCTGAACCTTCTCCGAACCTTCTAGGCTACAACGCGTCCGCCGAGCCTCCGCCGAGAGAGGTTGTGCTTGGCATCTGGACCACCGACAAGCTCGCGCTGCTGCCGTCGCCCACTTCGTCGATGATGCACGTACAGACCTCCACGCCTGGCGCTTGCCCAGCCGAGCCTTGCCTGCGCGGAGTCACGCCGCGGCAGTACGTCGACGCGGTGGCGACGCCGAACTCGCGCCGGCGCGTCCAGCTAGCTCGCCAACTTCGACCGGCTCTGAAAAGACAGCCTTGGAGGTCTTTTTTGTAGGCGCATCCACCTCGCCAACAACGATTTCACGTGGACCGGCTACCAAGGCAAGCCGTGCTGCTGGGCGGAGCAGTCGCTTCGAGCGGTCGAGCGGATCCTGGTGCGGGAGTGGGCGCTGCCACGGCCCGCGTGGCTCGACAAGCAGTACTGGACGGACCTGGTTGGCGAGGCGGACGCCACCGCCGCCTCCGCCGCCTCCAGCGATGCTGCAGCAGCGGTGGCGTCCAGCGATGATGCTCTGCCGTGGACGTCCAGCGATGCTGCAGCAGCAGCGAGCGACGCCGCAGGCGGCGCTCTGGCGAGCGGCGCGGGAGTGGCGGAGGCTCTCGCGACGCTCGAGCGACGCGTCTGAATGAGCTTGCCTGCGGCGAGCGAGGGCGGTCGAGTGCACGGACGCTCAGTGCCTCGCCGCCCTCGCAGGAGTCGCTTAGGCGGCTCCCGTGGTGTACCTGTGTTAGTGCCAGTGCGCGCCAGTCCCGTGCCCAGTATTTGGATGTAAAATTCTTCGCGTACGTGAACCGGACGATTGCGGTGTGCTTGGAGCATCGCAACACGGTCGCCGCCCAGCCGGCTCCGCCGAACTCTTTGCATGCGTACTGCGGCGCCAGAGGGCGCTTGCGACGAGGACCGGTCGCCCCGTGGCGTTTTCGGCGGTGATCGATCGGGCGTCGATCGGCGCGCTTGGCGCTGCTTCGCGAGTTGGTGGTGGCGTGTTTGCCGCACCGCCTGGCTGCCCCGCGGGTGGCCGCGCCGCTTGCCCCGCGAGGCGCGGCGCCCTGCGCTTCCACGTACGCCGCCTTATCCGCAGCGCACTGCCTTGAGCAGAAGTCGGCCACGTCTGCCATTCCCTGGTCCATGACTACGTTTGGAACATTGGCGGCCTGGATGTTGCTGACGTCCGCACGCGTGGCTGCCCAAAAGTTCGCTTCGTGGGCGACGGCACCCGATCGGCGGTAGACGTGCAGCGACGCTTCGCACATCCAGCGGCACATTAGCATGATGACGGCGTCTGGGACTCCCGCGGCGTGGAGCGCCGTAGAAAGGCCGGAGCAGTAGGAGTGCCAGGTGTAGATCTTCGCTGCCGCTTCTCCGCAGGCGTGAAGGAGAGCGGCTTTGAGGAGCGCGTCGATCGAGGATCGAGTGCGTGAGTGGCGAGCCGTTTTCGTCCGCGAATAGAGGCGTCGTCTCTCGCTCGCCGTCAGGGCACGCCTCGCGCAGCTCGATGTCTCGGATGGCGTCGCACGGGTCACCCTCCCTCGCGCTTAGTCCGATGAAGATGGTGAAGGGGCAGCGAGGGGGCGTAACGAGGCAGCCGTCTCTGTTAGGCACCATCGAACGCAGAAGGGCCCGCGAAGGGTTGGAGTGGATTATCACGTTGATTCTCCACACTACGCTGGATCGCGTGAGGTACATGATCTCGCCGGACGCGTGTCCACAGATCTCACCGAGACGGAAGGCGGTGCGGAAGAGGAACCGGCTGAGTCGCCTGAACGTGAAGACACGATGTACGGAGTCGTCCCACGCGTATCCGCCGATTATCCGGCCGTCAAGCGGCAAGCGGTCCATTTTGATGACCATTCCCCACCGCATGGGTTCCGCTCGCTTCGGCATGAGCGAGTACGGGTACATCAGATAGAGGCGCATAAGGCCATTGAGCTCGGCCACGAGGGCTTTGTAGGACGGCATCTTGACGCCCCACCGCCCAAAGACTCGCACGATCGCCAGCGGGTATGCCAGCGCTGAGCGCGGCTTGATGAAGACGGCACCCGGTGTGGGCTGGGTTTGCAGATCGCAAAGGCGTGTAGCATGAGGCAAGCGAGAAGGTGTGCGGATCGCTGCGGGTAGTCCCGCACGTCGGCGTGTGAGCGGAGGGGGCTCGTGCCCTTCTGCTCGCATGCGAATTCCCACATCTGCCACGCTCGCTCGTCCTTTGAAGGTGTTTGCGTTGATGCCAAAGCTGACGACGTCCTCGATGGACGCGAAGGAGGCGGCGAGGTCGTCGAAGAGGGCGGTCAGCCGCATGTTGGGCTCGCCGCCAGCCGCGAGGGACTCTACCCGCGCCCTCGCGTAGAGTCGGGAGGCGCGGGGGAGAGCACGGAAGATCGGCCGCGGCACGGCATGATCGGCGCGGCGAGCCGTCCGTGGTACTCGACCATCCGCGAGGGCCGCACATACGCGTCATACGTTGCACGTCGCGGATTCCCGCCGGACCGCCTCGGTTGGGGCCCGTCGCGGTCAAGCCCGGCCGCGTCAAGGCTCGTCCTCGGCTGGGAGCGCCCGCCGGCGACGGCGCGTCTTTGGGCCGTCCGGCGAGCCGCGCCGCCATCGTCTCGAGCGGCGACGAGCCGCCCATGCGCATGGAGGGGCGGCGGCCCAGGCTTCGGACGGCTCGATCCGCCACGTCCGGAGGTTCTCCGACTTGGGCTTTCAGTTGGGCCAGGTGGCTCACCGCGGCTCGATACAGGTCCGAGCACGTCGGTGGCAACGGCAGTCCCTCGGGTCTGACGTGGTCGTGGAGCTGCTCGCTCGATGGGATGCTGCATTGACGCAGACAGCAAAAGCATCGCAGTGGAGCGGGCCTTCTCAGGAGTGGCGGCTCGCACCATGCGGCAGTGCGGACACCAGGTGCGCGAATTTAAGAGCCATTTTCGATTCCGTGGTTTTGGCACTGTCTACCAACTTTGGTACAAATCGTAATCGACTTGGTCTGGGCACGCAGCTGAGCCCGGCGCTGCCTCCATCCATTCTGAAAGTGTAGAAGGGAAGGCAGCATGCCAGGCTGCGAGGCTCTGCTGTGCGCCGAAGAGCGGTATGGCGCCGAGGAGGCCATTTTCCTAGAAAAAAGGCTGTCGACATCCAAATTTTTTCCTCGCTGCGCCGCGGCCAACCATGTGGGGTGGGCGGCACGTAGCGCGGCCGCTTGAAATGTCTGCCACTCACCTAAGCGGCTCTCAGAAACACTCGTGCGGCTGCGCATTTTATGTTCCCTTCTCGGCGAGTGAAAATCGATAATCTGCGATTTTCACTCAACATCTCGAGATCGGACTCGAGAGCGAGATCACTCGCCTCTCGCGCGAGAGAGATCCTCGAGGCGAGATCACGCACAGGTAAATCACGGCTACGTCGCTCAGAGGTAGAGGTAAAGGGCCCACGGCTGCCCAGAGGTAAAGGTAAGAGGGCCGCAGGCCCTCAGAGGTAGAGGTAACAGACCCCTCCCGGCCGAGCGGCTGAGGAGTGAGCGGCTGAGAGGTGAGAGGTGACAGCCCAGCGTAGGTACTCAGAGCTTTTGGGAGTCACTCAGTGCGGTCATTGACCTTCCGCTCAGGGCTGGGGAGCTAAGAAGCGCACCCAGCTGGACGACGGGGCCAGGTGATTGGAACACATGGAGCGTGGAGTAGCTACGCAGCGGAGAAGAGGGCCGAGGGGCGCGGCCCGATGTTCGTTATTGCGCAAGCGCAAGCGCTGATACGAGACCACTTCGACATTTCTCAGCAATTTCGGCGCCAGAGTACAGCATTCCATGAATGTAAATGCGCGGCAGAGTGTCGGCGCTTGTCGAAAGAGCGCGCTCCAGGGTCGAGCCTTGCCCAACCTCGATCGACACGTAGGGAATGCCCAACGCCTCGAAGCACTCGCGGGCCGCGTCGCCGGACGGGCACTCGCTGCGGGCAAAGACTACTACCGAGTTCTGCTCCACCTTCTCCAGCACCGCCGCACGCAGCTTCTCTGCGCGTCCGGCAGCAACAATTGTAGGCCCCTCGATGGGCGCGTGCTCAGGAGCATCAATGCGCAGCGCACATGGGAGCAGCCAGAGTGACATTCGTACCCAGCTACCCGCGGAGCTGGCTCGCGTCCGGCCTCCGGCGGGGGCGCGAAGCTAAAAACGGCGGGCCGCGGCGCGCGCCTGGGCAGTGACAGACTGGCGTACGCGTGGCGCCGGCAGTCAAAATGCGTGGCGTGGCGCGTCACACAATGCGCGGTGTGTCGAATCACACAATGTGCGGCGTGTGCATCGTCGTGCTGCTCGCCCTGAGTGCCAGTGCCCAGGACTCGGCGACCTGGACGATGCGGCTCGGCAGGCGGCAACGCGACGTGTGTCAGGAGTCCACCGGGCTGATGCGTCTCCTCTCAGTCATGTGGGGCTGGGTGAGTGGCTCAGAGGGCGGGCCGTGCGAGGTGCGCGAGGCGGTGTGCGATGACAGCCTGGTAACCGGCCTGTCTGTGCGCAACTCGGCGACGAGGCTCAAGGGCTCTGACCGCGACTTCTACGACTTCAAGCTCCAGTGCTCGGGCGGGTGGACATCTCGCTGGATGGGCCTCCGCTTTGAGGGCGATGGTGACGACGTGACCAAGAGCATGGCTTGCCCGGGCGAAGCGGTGACGAGCGCACAGTAACCGTCGTGCGTTAGGCCGTCCGGTCGTGCGGCACGGGTTCGCGCGATGCAGTCTGCGCGAGGTGACCCGCCGGCAATCGTGCTCACCCCTCAGAGCGTGTCCGCAAAGGCCGCCAGGGCCTTGCGTGCCGGCGCAGGCGCGGGCGCAGGCGCGGGCGCGGCCGGTGGACGCGGCGTGTACTGTTGTAACGTGGGTGGGCGGTACGGCGGCTCCAGCGATTGACCATACCCCCCCACCCGTCGAGCAGGCCGCCTCCGGCGGCCAGGACCATACCGGGTACCATACCTTACCCCGTAAAAAGGTCGAATCCAGCACCGCGGAGCAGTGTCAAGCGACAGTCTCATCCGTTCCAGCCGCTGCTGGTGCCTCGTCGAGGTGCCTCGACGCCGCTGAATCAGCTACATGGCCGGCGCAGCAAACCTCGCTGCCGCTGTCGCGTCCGGTGCGGACGTCACCACGGTCGAGCGGCTGCTGGCGGGCAATGCCGACATCTCTGCAGTGGCGGGTGAGAGGCGTGAGACAGCATTGCACTTTGCAGCACGGCGCGAGCCCAACCTCACCTCCATCCTCCTCTCCGCTGGTGCGTCGCTCGACTCTACCTGCACCGAGGGCTTCACGCCGCTTCACGCCGCAGCGCATGCCGGCGCCGCGCAGTGCCTGAGCATCCTCCTCGCTGCTCCCGGCGTAGAGGCTTGCGCACGGACGAGCCGCGGCGACTCCGCTCTGCATCTGGCCGCCATCTCAGGCAGCGGGGCGGCCGCGGCCCTCCTGCTCGATGCGGCGCCGGCGCTGCTCGACGATCGCAACACTGCGGGCTGGACCGCCCTAATGCTCGCCGCGGGATGCGCCCCGATCGGCTCTGATGCCGTGTGCACCCTCCTCGACAGCGGCGCGCGAGACGCCCCGCCCCGCCCTCCAGTCGACTCGCGATGGGTATGCAGTTGTGAATGTCTGAGTATCGATTCGCTGCTCGCAGGTGCGCGAGACGCCCCGCCCCGCCCTCCCGTCGACTCGAACGCGATGCTGCTCGCTGCCAGTCGAGGCCATGCCGCCGCACTGCGGGCGCTGTTGCAGAGGCTGGTGGGCGGTGGCGCTGCCGCCGCCGCAAGCGCCACGCAGGCCGCCACAAGCGCGGGCGACACTCCTCTGCTGCTCGCCGCGCGAAGCGGTTGCGCCGGCAGCGTGCGTCTGCTGCTCCGCGCACATGCCGACGTGGCGGCTCGCAACGTGCACAGGCGCTCGGGCCGCGAGAGAGTCGCTACCGAATGAGCCGTTCCGGTGCCGAAGAGTGACGGGTTCCTCCTCAGGCTCGGCCCGCTGGACATGGCGGTGGAAGGCGCGTGCGAGCAGCAGGAAGATTGCGTGGGAAGGCACGAGCAAGTCCTGCGGATTCTGTTGGCAGCGGGCGCGGCGCCGGAGGAGGGCGTGCCGGCGCTGGACCGCCTCGCTGCCGCGCCCGCGCCGCTCTGCCGCCTGGTCTCGCTCGCCGCCACGCTGCGCAGGGCTGGTTTCGACACTGCCGCCGCCGCTCGCTCCGCCGATGTGCAGCGCCGTCCTGCCCTCGCCGCCGCGCTTCGCGCCCGGCGGCCGCCGCCGCTGCTGCTCGCACTGCGGTGTCCCATCGACGAGGCGCCTCCCTCGGCCATCACGGTGGAGGAGGGCCGCCCCCCTCTCCCCGCCGCGCACCTCGAGGGCCTTTCTCCGCGGGCCGGCGCTGGCGCGATCGCCAGATTTGCCGAGACCCGCCGCCTGAGTGGCTGTGAGTAGGCCCTCTCCTCGGGCCGGCGCTGGCGAGGGCGCGGAGGGGCGCGGGGCTGGCGGCGGACGACGCGTACCGCGCGCAGCTGGAGGAGATCGCCGCTGCAGACGCCGTCGCGCTGGCGGGCGGCGCGCTGCGCAAGGCGCGGCGCTTTGTCCTCCTTACGTCTTGGGCCGCCGCCGGCGCGGCACTTCGTCCAAGCAGCGCAGAGGCGGGCGACGCGGTGAGAGGGGACGGCCGTCGAGCGCTCCCGGCAGGTGGCGTGTCAACCCCTCACTCCCGCGCTTTCGTTCTTCACAGGCGAGGCTGGCCTTCGAGCGCAACGCCCGCGCGGTCCGCGCCCCGCTCGAACCAAGCGCAGAAAGTTGCGGCGGGGCTGCGGCGGGCGGCGGGGCGGCGGCGGGCGGCGGGGCTGCGGCGGGCGGCGGGGCCGTGGCGGGGGCGGCGGGGAGGCTGCGGCAGGCGGGGAGGGTGGAGGTGGGCGGGGCGGCGGGCACGGGTCGTGCCTCCGCCATCACCACTGAGCCGTGCCACTCCTCAACCAGGTGGGCGGCGTGGCGGAGGTGGTGGTGATGGAGCCACAGCCAGGCTGCTCGCAAGTGCACGAGCGCCACCTCGAGATGCTCTCTCAGCTCGGCGTCTGCGTCGAGGAGGAGGCGCGGGCGGCGGCGGAGAGGCCGTGGGCCGTCTACGCGGAGGATCTGGGCGAGGGGGGCGATTGTGGCGGCGGCGGCGGCGACTGCGGCGGCGGCGACGGCGCAGCGGTGGCGCAGTGCTACTCCCTCGACGCGCCACTCGTGCTGAACCACGTAGTGGAGGCTGCGGCCACCGGTCTGAGTGCAGCCTCGGCGGCGGACGAGGTCGAGGAGATGAGTAAGTGATTTTTGGAGCATTTGCAAAGTACATGCTCGGACTACTCAGTACTCTCCGTTTCCGTCACGCTTCCGACACATGTGACAAGGTGGCACTTGGGATCCGCGGGGCGATGGGACGCGCAGCGGCCTAGGCCTCCTCCTTGTTCGTCTCCGTCGGCGCCTCGACCGTGGTCGCCTTCTTGGCCTCCAGCTCCGACTTGCCAACCTCCATCCCCTTGTTGAACTCCTCCGGCACCTGCTTGAGCTCGGCCGAGACCTTGCCCACGTCCTTGGCGAGCTTCTTGACCTGGTCCGGGCCAAGCACCAGCAGCGCTACGCCCGCTATTATCGCCAGCTCCGGCGCCCCCATCCCAAACAGGCCCATCGCCGGCGCCGGCGCACGCCGAGCAGTGGCGCGGGCCGCAGGCTGCGCGGGGGCGAAGAGCGACGAGGCAGCGGCGGGACGAGCGGCAGCGCCGGAGAGCACGACCGGCCGCGTCGGCAAGCGCAGGCCGGAAGCGACGGCCACGAACAGCGCGAGCAGCAGTCTGAGCGCCCTGCTCATCGTGAGCTCGACGGAGATGAGAAGAAATCGTCGGCGGCTATTTCCTGCCGACTCCCTTGGGCTGTCCGTTTTCTTTCTTTCTTTTACTCGTGGTAGCGACGTAGAGGCGCGCTCCATAGTCCTCCAGTGCGCCGCGTTGCCGCACACGTACGTGCCGCCGTTGAGCGCGCCGAGCTCGCTGATGCGCTCACTCACGCATCACACGTCACACAACCTCAAGGTCACCTGTCAAACTCCCCTTTAAACGCGCTCGGCCCTGCCAAACACAGACGAGAGAGAGAGAGAGAGAGGGCGAAACAGCCGCCAACATCAAAGAGGGAGAGGAAAGTACCGCGCCGTCCCCATCGGCGACACCGCCTCCCATACCTCCAACGCCGGGTCGTAACGCTCCACCAGGCAGTCGATATCTCCATCCTCATCGTTCTCCCCGCCCACAGCGTACAGCTTGCCGTCCAGCACCGCCACAGAGAGGCGACTTCGAGCCGCCGCCATCGGCGCCACCGCCTCCCACACATTCATCGCAGGGTCGTACCGCTCGACTGAGCTGAGATTCTCCCCGCCCACAGCGTACAGCTTGCCGTCGAGCGCCGCCACGGCGTGAGAATACCGCGCCGTCGCCATCGGCGCCACCGCCTCCCACGCGTTTGTAGCAGGGTCGTACCGCTCGACCGAGGTGAGGTCGCCGCCGTTGGGGTTGTCGTCGCAGCCTCCCACCGCATACAGCTTGCCGTCGAGCACCGTCACAGCGAGCCCGTCCCGCTCCTCCCCCATCGGCGCCACCGCCTCCCACGCATCCAGCGCCGGATCGTACCGCTCCACCGAGCTGAGGATGCTTGCGTCGTCGTTGTAGCCTCCCACAGCGTACAGCTTGTCCTCGAGCACCGCCGCGGCGGGAGCAAACCGCGCCGTCCCCATCGGAGCCACCGCCTCCCACGACTTCGCGGCCAAGTCGTACCGCTCCACCAGGTTGGATGTTGCGACGAAGTTGTCGGCCACACTCACGCCGCCCGCCGCGTACAGCTTGCCGTCGAGCACCGCCGTGCGGACATACCTTCGTTCCATTGGCATCGGCGCAACAGCCTCCTCCTCCCACTCATTCGTTGACGGGTCGTACCGCTCCAGCGAGCTGATGACGCGTCCAGCTCTGCCTTGGCCGCCTCACGAGCATGCGTGGCCGCTCGCGCTTCTTCAGCGTCTCCTTCCAGCCGCGGCGCCACGCGCGGCACGTCCCCTTGACGGCGTGCTCCTTGGTCGGCAGCTGGGCGAGGATGTGCGGGGCGAGGTCCGGCGAGAGGAGGACCTCGGAGAGCACCCACTCGGGCTGCTCCACGAGCCGAGCGGCGTGCTCCTCCGCCACGCGCAGCGCGGCGTCGCTCCAGAGAGGCGCCTGCTCGTCGATGAAGGCGACGAGCTGCTCTGGTGAGAGGCCAGACAGGCGGGCGCCGATGCGGTGGGCGGCCATCGATGTGAAGCTGGGGGATGTGAGCTGTGGGGGAGCAAAACTAGGCGCCTGCGTTTCTTTTCACAGTCGTTCTTCACACGGATATCGCGGAGCAGATTGTGAATGAGCTTGCCAGCGGCGAGAGCGGTCGAGTGCACGGAGCTAAGTGCCTCGCCGTCCTCGCGGGAGTCGCTTAGGCGGCTCCAGTGGTGTACCTGTGTTAGTGCCAGTGCGCGCCAGTCCGGTGCCCAGTGTTGTGCGAGGGAGTTTTGTTGTAAAATTCTTTTCACAGCCTTATTGAGAAGAAAATACCTCCTATGGCGCTGTGCGCTGGTCCCGCTTCCGCTTTCGGCGTCCTCGTGCGCCGTGCTCCGCCCCGCGCCGCTCGTCGCCAACACGAAGTGCTGCGATCGGGGGTGGCCCATTTCTTTTTTCTTTTCTTTTTTTGGGTCCTGTGGGCACCCTACGATCGGCCGCCGCCGCCTTCGCGCACGCGGCGCGACGCGCTGCAAATTGCGCTCCGGGCCTGGACCGTGGGCGCCGGTGCGGCCATCGCAGGCCTCGAGCCTCGTGCTACACAACACACACACCGACGACTACCTGACCCCCGTACTTCAGCAAAAGCACTTGGAGCACTTGGAGTGCAGTCAGTAACCTCACATCCAGGGCCGGGGAGCTGAGAAGCGCACCCAGCGGGCCGGATGATCGGGATCGGGCTACGGGCTAGAGAGCCCTGACGCCTGGGCGATTTTTTCTCCTCCTCTCCAGCTCGCTCGTGCCACCGATCGTGTGGGCAGCGTGTGGGTGTGGCATTGCTCCGGGCTCCAACACCGCCAGATGCGCCCGACTTTCATCGTCCTCGCGGCGCTACTGCAGCTCGCGCGGCCGCTCTCCTTCTCGGCCGGCCCGCGGCTCTCGCGCCGGCACCAGCAGCCAGGCATCCGCGTGGTGGCGATGGCGTCTGGGAGCGGCAGCGCGGCGAGGCGGCGGCGCGGGTCCGGAAGCCGCGAGGCGCGGAGGAAGGCGATCCAGCGCAACCTCGACGCGCCGCCCGAGCCCAAGCTCCCAGACGGTCCGCCCGAGGACGACCCGGCGACGCCGCTCGCGCTTGCGGCGGTGCGTGCCGGCGACGACAAGAAGGCGCAGGGGATATCCGCGCTGCGGGTGGGGCACCTGACGTCGGCGACGAGCTACTTTGTGACGATGCAGGGCAGCAGCCGAGCCCAGATCGACGCCATCGTTAAGAGCGTCGAGTCCGAGATGAGCGAGCGGTTTGGCCGCGTCGGCAGCCGGCAGGGCAAGGCCGGCAGCGGGTGGGTCTGCCTCGACTTTGACGAGGTCGTGGTGCACGTGTTTGCGCAGGCGGAGCGCGACTACTACGCGGTCGAGTCCTTCTGGGCGGGCGGTCAGCCTCTCGACCTCGCGGGCGTCGTGTCGCCAGAGGCACAAGACACTTCCGAGACTCTTCCACTCTTTCCACATTCCGAGACCCTTCCGCGACACGTCCGAGACCTTTCCCCGTGTCGTCAGGCGCCGGAGCCCGCAGCGCCCGCCGCCGACTGGTCGCTGGAGGACGACGACGACGACTGGTCACTGGCGGGCTGGGCCGCCGGCGAGGAGGACGGCTGGGCAGCGGGCGAGGAGGCGCCAGCCGGCGGCGGCGGTGTCGGCGGTGTCGGTGGCGACTCGGCGGTCGGAGGCTGGTCGCTGGGGAGCGAGGAAGACTGGTCGCTCGGAGAGGACGACTGGTCTGCGCCCGCCGCGCCAGAGGGTGGTGCGGGCGGTGTGGCGGAGGACGCCGCGCCCTCGCCCGCCGCCGCGACGACCGAGGAGGCGATGGAGGAGGCGGAGGAGGAGGCGGAGGAGGAGGCGGAGGAGGAGGCGGAGGATTGGGCTCTGGGCGACGATGCGCTGCGCGCGCTCGTTGATGGCGCGCTCGACGCGGGCGAGGGCGAGGAGGAGGATGAGCCGGAGTGAGCGGGCGCAGGGGGCGATGCGGCAAGGTATCGGCCCTGCGTGACCGTTACGTCCCGAAACGCTCAACGAACACAAAGGCCATCGGCCTCGCGTGTGTGCGTGTGTGTCGTGTGTGTGCTCGCTCTGGGACATACTTATTACATATTGCAAGAAGAGATGTCCCTTCCTTTGTCACACTGTGCCCTGTGGGGGGGCCGCTGCGCGCTCGGTGGCGCTGGCGCCCCCCCCCCCCCCCCACGGCCACGAGCCACACGTCCGAGACTCGCACACTCGGAGCACGGAGGCGATACGGTAACCGCATCGGAAAAAGCGTGCAGGAGGGAGCGCGGGGAGCCGGGACCCCAGCGAGAGGGCTTCGGGCGTGTGCGACACACTTACGACTGCAGCTGGCGCGCCGCACGCGCCAGCTTCTCCCTCGCCTTCACATAGATCATAGTCCGCGAACGACGAGGGCTTCGGGGAGAGCTCGGCGAGGTAGTCCTTGATGACGCAGCACTCGCTGTCATTCTCGACGCAGCCGCCCACACCGACATCCTCGGGGTCGCACTCGGCCGAGTCAAGGAACACCTCTCGAGCCACTGCTTTGCGAGGGCCTCGGTCTCGACGTACACGAGGAGGGGGAGGAAGTGCACTCCCACCTGCAGCAACGTGCCGCCTGCTCAGACCTATGAGAGCTGCGCTGTGCGCTAGATTTTCACCACGCCTCGAAGGCCTTCTAAAGGGCGGACCGGCTGCCAGCTGAGGGAGGGTGTAGAGGATGTAGAGTGTAGAGCGCTGTAGAGCTGTAGAGATGTAGAGCGCTGTAGAGCTGTAGAACTCTACATCCGCCGCGTGACGAACTGCGTGCGTTGTAGAGCGATGTAGAGCGCGATTTTGCTGTAGAGTTTGTTGTAGAGGCTCTACAGCCAAACCGCCGGGAAGGCAGTGGCTTAAAGAGGTCGAGCCGCGCTAATGGGGTGTCTCCCAGCTTACTGGAGCTCTGATGGACGGCCCTGACTACACAGAGAGTCACTCTGACGGCACACAACACCCTATAACTGCGTCATGACCAGCCTGCCATACGTCGCCGGTGCCGCATTCGTCGCTGTGCTTCTTTAGCAGGCGGTGGACTGTCGGCTGCGAGGACGGTCGCATTTGCACGAGGCGAGGCGAGCATTCAGGCGCATTGCATGCGCCATGACTCGCGCCAGCGCGTGCGGGAGCTCCTGGCCTGAGCGTTGAGTCCAAGCGAGTTGCGCTGGCCACTATCGGCTATCGCTACGCCGAGCCGAGCTGACGCGCCGAGGCGCCGGCCAGTCACAGCCGTGAGGCATGCCACAGCAGCAGAGGCACCTGCCACCCATTGGGCGGGCAGACAGAAGGCCAGGGCAGCACTGGCAAGTGCAACGCGCCTCATGTCGGAGAGCGACCGTGCCTCGTTCGCGCTTATCATGTAGAGTTTGTTGTAGAGATTTCACGTTGTAGTCTGCTCAGAGGGGTGGTTGACGGGTTGAGGGTTGAGGCCCCCCCTCAACCATCTGGTTGACGGTTGAGACCCCCCGTCAACCCTTTAGTTGGGGGTTGAGGCCTCCGGGGCGTATTCACAGGCTCGCGCGTGATCACAAGATTGGAACAGCCCTGCCGCCAAAAAAATCGCTTCGCCTGCGGCGCGCTCTTGCGGTCCTCGTACCTTGAGCGCAATCCATAAGTAGGAGACGCTCACTGTCGCCATTCAGGCGCCTGATCCTTCAGCAAAGCGATGGCCTACCAGGTACGAGTTCAGATGCGCGCCCGGCAGAAGACGCTTGTGCTGCCGCATGCAGTGGAATGCGCACAGAGAGCGGACGGCAAGAGAAGGCAAGGGAAGGAAGATAAACGGCTGGTGAAGCTCAGCTCACGGCGTAGTATTGCGGTCACTAACCATTCACGGCAAGAGTCACGGTGAATGCTGCCGCATAAAAGCAACAGAGTCGCGGTTGGCGCGATGGTCTTGTCGCGGTTATATAACGACTTGACGTTGCACACGGCCATAGACGCAGTATCTGTTTGGCGAGCCTCAAGCAGCGAAAGCAGGCGCGAGAAATTAATGTCAATCCTGAGATCTCAATTTTGGCGCTAGTTTCGTTTTCTGGTACATCATGACGACTTGGGTCTCATGTAGCTCTCGACGGCTCTTCGACGGCTCTTTCTGGTTGGATCAGACAGTGCTATCAGTCAACAACACAATGCCGAGAGCAGGGCGGCCTTCGAGCAGGGCGGCCTTCGAGGCAACTAAGTTCCTGCTGCATTTTTCATCGTACAACTTGATGGCGGGCGGACGTGTCGAGCATGGAAGGCGGCCATTGCTCAAACCTGTTCGAGTTGGCCTCCGGGAACAAGGGTGCGTGGCCGGCGCGGTCTGTTTCACGTGCAATAAGGGCAACGCCATCAAAATCGCGAACATGGGCCGACATGCCTCCGACATTTCTCAGGGCTCGGACGGAAGCTCTGCAGACAGCCAGACCGCTCTGCGCGGTCGGACCGACTTTTTCAGACTTTGCTATTCTGGATACTGAGGGTATGTGCTGCTAGATCTCACTGAGCTGAGCTCGTATCTGGCTTTGGTAAGCAGTTTTGAGTTCGGTAATGTCTCCGGAGACGGAGGGCCGCGTCCGCGGACGACCATGACGTCGGCCGGGATCCCCCCGTGCGGGGGCCTTCGACGCGCCGTTTTTACGATACTTGCTTCAGCTACGTGCGTGAATGGGAGGTGTGATGCAGCATCCAGGCGTTAAAGAAGACGACATGAATGGTTCACAGAGAATGTGTGTTCAGACCTTTGCGCGGGGGGTGTGAACAGCCATTCCGCGTGGTTGATGGGTTGAAGGGGTCTGTCAACCACTTGGTTGAGGGTTGAGGCCTCTGTCAACCACGTGGTTGACAGTTGAGGCAATCGGCCTCAACCACCGCTCTGAGTAGATTGTAGAGCGCCTCTACATCGCTCTACAACGCACGCAGTTCGTCACGCGGCGGATGTAGAGCTCTACAGCTCTACAGCGCTCCAGAGCGCTCTACAGCTCTACAGCTCTACAGCGCTCTACACTCTACATCCTCTACACCCTCCCACACAGGCTGCCAGCGGCACTCGCCGTCGTTGAAGTCGAAATCGCCGTACTGGAGCCGGGCGCTCATCACGGCGCTTGCGTAGTCGGCACAGAGCGCCTCGTATTTGACATCCCAAGCTTCGCGCATGGACTCGCCCCCAAGTGGCCCAGCTGCCTTCACCGCCAGGGGAAGCGATGCGAGAAACTTCTTGGCGCCCCCATCGAGCGTGTGAGCGTCACGCCGTCTGATGTGGAGAGAGAGGGCCGCAAAATAGGACGCACAGCTTGCTTGTCCGTTGGCTTATCGGATCCGCTTTTGGCGCCTTCTCTCTCTCATATACTGATATACACCTCTTTCTTCTGATGTGTGTGTCTCTCTCTCTGTCTCTCTCCTCTCTCGCTCTCTCGCTCTCGCTCTCTCTCTCTCTCTCTCTCTCTCTCTCTCTCTCTCTCTCTCTCTCTCTCTCTCTCTCTCTCTCTCTCTCTCTCTCTCTCTCTCTCTCTCTCTCTCTCTCTCTCTCTCTCTCTCTCTCTCTCTTCTCTGTAACCATGTCCATGGAACATCGGCGTTGCTTCCATCGTGTCACGGGAACTCACACCCCCAAACCCGGAGCTCGGAGCTCAAGGGGGTTTGGCTGGAAGATCTGAGCAATGCGAAGGTCTGACCTGGCTGGCCGCGCGGTGTGGGATTCGCGACGGACGACGGACGGCCGCCTCGGCTCGCGTGTCAACAAGCGCCGCCTCTCCCACCCTCTCGTAAACCCACAGTTCACAGCGTCACTGCAGGGGCTACCGCTGGCGCGTTCTGGACTCAGCGGCGGCCTTTGCGAGCTGGAGCTGGGTCTTGGGCACGCGGACACAGAGTACGCCGCGCCGCCCGCATCGCCGCCCTACGGCGGCGGAAGCGCCAGCGGCAACGATGGCAGCAGCGACGGCAGCGGCGACGGCAGCGGCAGCTCGATCGGGCGCGTGGGCAGCGGCAGCAGCACTGTGAGCAGAGGGAGCGGAAGCGCGGACGGCGACGACGGCGGCGGCGCGGGCGGCGACGACGTCGTCATGCGGCCGCGCAAGAATTCGAAGACTTTGCCGCTCGCCAAAATGCGAGCACCGCACTGCGACAACAAAACCGTGCACTGCGTGGGCACACGCTTCACACGCTTCACACGCGCGCGCGCGCAACACACCGCGAACACACCGCGCGCCGCCGTTCGATCGCCGCACGGTGGTTTTACTGGCCCGCGCATGCGCGCTGGCGAAGCCCTGTCCCAACCCTGTCCCCAACCCTACCCCAAGCCCCAACCCTAACCCCAGCCCCTAGCCCCACCCAGCGCCGACCCCGTCCCCCGACCGCACACCACCCGCCTACCGCCACCGGCAGGCCGACTCTGATCGACGCGTCGCCCTCGGCGGAGCTGGGCGAGGCGGCGGGCCGGCAGTTCTACGGGCGGCAGGAGTCGCTGCTCGCCGACGAGACCCTGAAGAGGGACGGAACCGAAGGCCCTAGATGCGGAGCCCAGTCCACATCTCCCCACATCTCCGCATATCTCCGCACATCTCAAGGCCTAGATGCGGAGCCCAGGTCCACATCTCCCCACATCTCCGCATATCTCCCCACATCTCAAGGCCTAGATGCGGAGCCCAGGTCCACATCTCCCCACATCTCCGCATATCTCCGCACATCTCATATCTCAAGGCCTAGATGCGGAGCCCAGGTCCACATCTCCCCACATCTCCGCATATCTCCGCACATCTCAAGGCCTAGATGCGGAGCCCAGGTCCACATCTCCCCACATCTCCGCATATCTCCCCACATCTCAAGGCCTAGATGCGGAGCCCAGTCCACATCTCCCCACATCTCCGCATATCTCCGCATATCTCAAGGCCTAGATGCGGAGCCCAGGTCCACATCTCCCCGCATCTCCGCATATCTCCGCACATCTCAAGGCCTAGATGCGGAGCCCAGGTCCACATCTCCCCACATCTCCGCATATCTCCCCACATCTCAAGGCCTAGATGCGGAGCCCAGGTCCACATCTCCCCACATCTCCGCATATCTCCCCACATCTCAAGGCCTAGATGCGGAGCCCAGGTCCACATCTCCCCACATCTCCGCATATCTCCCCACATCTCAAGGCCTAGATGCGGAGCCCAGTCCACATCTCCCCACATCTCCGCACATCTCCGCATATCTCAAGGCCTAGATGCGGAGCCCAGTCCACATCTCCCCACATCTCCGCATATCTCCGCATATCTCAAGGCCTAGATGCGGAGCCCAGGTCCACATCTCCCCACATCTCCGCATATCTCCGCACATCTCAAGGCCTAGATGCGGAGCCCAGGTCCACATCTCCCCACATCTCCGCATATCTCCGCACATCTCAAGGCCTAGATGCGGAGCCCAGTCCACATCTCCCCACACCTCCCCGCATCTCGCCACGCCTCAGAGGCCTAGGTGGGGGTACAAGCCCCAACCATTCGGGAGGACACGTATCCGGCTGTACTCGCAGCCATTGGATCCACGCGAGGCTTCGGGCACACTGCACGGCCCCGTGCCGCTGCCTCTGGCGCACGCACTAGTGTCTCTTCGGCTCCACCTCACTCCCCCATTGCACCTTCGGTGAGGGCGCATTGGCGCGTGATGCGGAGCAGTTACGGGATCGCGCGCCACCAGGAAGGGCTACGCAGTCTCCCTGACATCCCGCACTCGCGGCGTAGGCTCGAGGGATGCGGACCCGTCCACCCTCTCCACCTGCGCGGCGACCCCTTCCAGTCCCCAGGAGAGATCGAGCCGAGATCGAGCCGAGATCGAGCCGAGATCGAGCCCAATCCGGTCGCGATCTTAGCCGAGCCTGGCCCAGATCGAGCCGGTTTCTACCCGAGACCCAGCCGAGATCTAGCCGAGATCCAGACAGAGCCGAGATCTGGCCCAGCTCTGCCGAGGCTCAGCCCAGCTCGGGCCGAGCTCACCACGAGATCGCGGCGGCGCAGGTGGCGCGGAGCAGCAGCCTCGTCCTCACGGCCGACTTCACGCGCGTCGTCGGCGGCTTCTGAGGACGGCTCGGCGGCAGGTGCTCGGCGGCAGGTCTGCTCACCCGCGCGCACACCCACCGGGCCTTGCACTCGGAATGCCGATCTCCCATCTCAGGACGTGGAGTCGTAAGGGCTAGCCTGGCGCCTTGCCCCGCCACCTTGTGTGTGTGGAGACGGCGGGCCTTCCCTTCCCCTCCCTTAGGATCGCGGAATGATTTGTGGAGGAGGACCAGACCGGTCCGGCGCCGGAGGCACGGAGCGTGCGAGCCGCAGCCGATGTGCCTCGGGCGCGAGCTGGGGCAGGGCGGATGGCTAGCCGGCTTCGTCCGCGGAGCCCGGGAGGGGGAGGGGGGGGGTCTGGCCGCTGTGGTCGTGCCCCTGAGGCGCGCAGCGCGAGGTAGCATGCGGGGGTGGTCTGGGTCTCTGCATGATGTGTGCGGCGGCGGTGGTGGAGCGCAGGCCTCCTTGCTGCCGACAGACTTTGGTGGGTTCTTGCATGCACGGTGCTGTCCACGCCTCTTCTGACGTCTTCTGCTCGCCGCCGCGTATAGAGAAGGGTGGCCGGGGGGGCATCCATGTCAGTGTATGTGTCAGTCTGTGTCGCATGTCGGATTGCTCGTGCGTGCTCGGGCGGGGTGCACCATCCGAGACGCGACTAGCGCTCCTCGGTTGCCGCCTGCGCTCGCATCGCATCCGAAGCTCTAGAGCCGTAGGCCCATGCTAGGTCGCATGACTTTCATTATATCACATGTATCATGTACTTGTGAAAATCAATCTCGTTTATACAGTGGATTCTTTATGCATGCTACCTTTTGGCTAGTTCCATTTCACTGTGGCACAGCTCGCGTTACAAAACCTTGATTTTGACCATTGCGCGAAAAAGGTACATCTCGGTGCCTTCCAGAGGCAGCTGCGACCCCGCCGAGGAGACGGTAACGCACAGCAGGTGGCGCGGTGCGTTACCGTCCACTCAGCGGGGTCGCAGCTGCCTCTGCGCGTCCTGGGGATGTACCTTTGTCGCGCGCCGGAGACGACTCGCCGCCGCTGAGATCGGAGATCAAGCTCTGACAGGTCGCACGTCGCTCCTTTGACGCCGACGTGACTCACCCGTGCAGATCACATCAGGACACGGTCTCGACGCGCTCGGTACGACGCCTGCGACCCGTCTCGGGTCAGGTGGCACGACGCTCATCGCGCCTGCCAGCGATGCCGTGCAGGTTGCCACGACGAGGTCGAGCACGCTTCTATACGCTCGCCGAGCCTTCCTTTCCATCCCATTAGGCAGCCTGGGAACGGTGGCGGTCAGATGCAAAGACTACGAGGGGTGGTGGAACCACATGTCACGGCTACTGCCGGCTCGACCCCACGATAGCCTCCGAAGGCTGACTTTGAGGCACCATCATCGGACGATGTCGACGAGTTGGGTCGCTCTCGCGGTAGCCAGATGACCTCCCATGCTAGTACCATCGGCTAGGGCCGCAGGAAGCGCGGGGGAGGGCGCTGGGAGCAACACGGAGCTCCGTTGGACGTTTTCAAGATTAGCGTGTCAGAGTGAAATGGAACTAGCCTTTGGGGAGCGACACGGTATTTATCGTTTTTCGAACCTTCAACCTACAACCAGAACCACGACCCCACATACGTTCGTGATAGCTGATACACGACTCACGAGTGTCGAGTCGAGATCACATCACCCCGCAGCGCCGCGGGGCGCGGCCCGCGCACCCCCCCACCCACCACCCAGACCCACCCCCTGGTTCGATAGAGGGGGTGTAGTAGTCTCTCAGTGTTCTGAGCCTCGAGGCCACCGCCTACTCAGCGGCGGGGTCGGCGTCTAAGTGGGCCTAGGCAGGCTGGGGGTGCTTGTGCACCCTGGTTTGTGGAGCTCCCGCAAAAAAGGTTGCTGTTCAACTGCGCCTTCGCCATCCCCCCTCTGTGCGTTCCACCCCGCCCGCTCCCTCCCGCTTGCGGCGCCCATGCACTCCGCCCACCCACCACCCTCGCCCTCCCCCCTTGTCCGCTGGCCGGCCTGGGGTGGCATCTCTTCATATCACGCGCCAAAGTGGGAGGGAAGTGGACGACGGGGCCCTCTGAGCCGACCTAGCTCTGCCAATGAAACGGAATGGAGCGCCCAACACGTGCCGGATTACCGTGTCCCTCCCGGGCATGGCCTTTCGGTTCGTGAAGGGTGTCGGTGCGTATCGTGCCCCCCTCGAGCGTGGCGGGTATTCCCATGTTCTCCGTCCGTGATACCGCCACCTCCTACCATCGCCTGGTCTGCGAATGCTTATCAGCCACAGGCAGGAGGAAGGAGAGCGTGGGTGGCCGAGGGCTGCATAGACTCGATCGCAAGATCCCAGAATCCAAAGTCACCTCTGCCTCTGGACAGGGCGGCCTGCCCCCCAAATCGACCCCTGTATATACACTTGAGCACACTTGAGCACTGGATAGGGTCGATTCCGCATGGTACGGGATAAAATACTCGTTTATTCATGAGGCGACGCCAATTCCCTCCTCGAGGCGTCCTGTGAATAAACAGGAACCGGTGCGGCCTCCGAGTCGGGTCTAGCGCGCGCGATAAGGTTTTGCTTGCCTTCCAGGGCTGGTGGATTAACGTTAAGAGGTGTTCAAACGTGTTAACACCGCCACTCGGGAGGTGTTGACACGCTCCGTAGATGCGGGCGAGTGGCTGGCGCGAATTATTTGAAGGAGCGCTACTCGAGTACCAGAGTCCAGAGTTGTCACGCCGGCCACGCACGGCACACGCCCACGCGCTCGCTGGGCGGTGCTGAGACTGGCCGCAGCGCGATGAACGGCAACACGATGGGCCGTTTGCTTGTGCTGCATGCAAGCTGGTCTTCGAGCACCAGAATGCAGCGGCACACAGCTGCAAGCAATGCAAACTGCCGGTGCATTCGTGGGTGGTGTGCGATATGGTGTGGATGCCAGAAGAAGGCGAGTACTTCTGGCAAGCCCTGCCTCGAGGCGTACAACGCCAGCGGGTCGACTCGCCTGTGGAGCCCCCGGGCCAGGGTGGCGCTTGATGTCGGCACGACCGCATCGTCCGCACCGCCACCTGCAAGCCGTGCCTGGCGCAGCGCCGATGCTGCCTTTAGCACTTGTAGCGTGCGCACGTGGTGCGAGCGCACATGGTGCGGTGCGCGTACTTGAGCAGGCGGTGCGCGCCGCAGTTGGCGCAGGGGCCCTGGGAGTAGGGCGCGCGCGGCATTGACGCGGACCCAGGTATTTCTCGAGTATACCCGGGTTTTTGCAGGTATACCCGGGTTTTACCCGGAGGGTGTGTCAACACCGTGTTAACGGCTGTGTTAACGCTTGTTTTGGGACTGCCGTTCAACTGTGTTAACACCGACCTTTGCGCCAAGTGTTGACACGATCTGTAGTCAGAGCTGCCCCTGAGGTGTGTTAATGTTAATCCACCAGCCCTGTTGCCTTCCCTCCCTGGCTGGGACCCCGTGTTGCATGTCTGACTGAGTGACTGTCACTGTGCGATTTCGGGGCCCGGGGTTGTGCGTTTCTGTGAAGAGTCTCCCCCATCCCCAGGGCCTCCAGAGGGCTCGCACCTCAACCTCTCATGGACCAGCGCACAGCGCCTTACGCGTATTTTCTTCTCAATACCAAGGGTCTGTGAAGAGAATCATCTTCAACTTCGCCAAAGAGGTTGGCAGCCCGAGCGCCGTCGACCGCACCGACTACGGCAACAGCCTCCGGCAGCGCCCGGGGCTTCGCCCAGCACCGCTCGCAACAGCTCTCGCGCGCCGCCGTCTGTGGCGACGCGCAAAACATCAACAACGTTTGTTTTGTTTTGCAACAACGGTGCTCGCAACATGCGTGCGTGTCGCGCACTCATTCATGACCGGTCTCAATGTCCCACCCACCCCCCTGCGCGCGGGCCTTCTAGCTAGGCCCGCGGGTAGTCTCCCCCCACCCATCCCCAGGCAGGGCTTCCATCCAGGGCTCGCACGTCGCAACCTCAACCTCTCATAGACCAGCCAGCGCACAGCGCCATCATCTCAGGTATTTTCTTCAGTGTTGTGCGAGGGAGTTTAGTTGTAAAATTCTTCTCAATCTTCTCAATCTGCCAGTCCCGTGCCCAGTGTTGTGCGAGGGAGTTTTGCTGTAAAATTCTTCTCAATCACAAGTTGGGCTGAGCACAGTTTTCCGGAAAACAAAAAGGAAAACAGAGGATCCCCAGCACTTTGCGTTTCCGGAAATTTCCAGGGAAAACAGAGGGTGTTTGGTGCTCCATTCTGGAAACTCGCTGTTTTCCCTGAGTCTGAGAGCTGGTCTGGGGCAAAATCTGAGGCAAAATTGAGGAAATCGACAAAATACCCAGGCGGTCGCAGGGTAAATTCCAGGTATGCACGGGTTCTCCACAAAATTCCCGGCATTTTGCCGATTTGGCCTAAAATTTGGCTGATTTTGGGCCCAAACCAGCCTCAGACTCGGCTCAGAGCCCCCCAAAATTTGACGATTTCCACGGAGTTTTCCCGGGAAAATAGAAGAGGGTGCTGTAGAGAAAAAAGGAAAGGAAAACAGACGGGGTGCGAGAGGCAAACTGTGCTCAGCTCAAATTCACAAGGCCGTGAAAACACAGGGATTTTAGCCCAGTGTTGTGCGAGGGAGTTGGCCTGTAAAATTTCTTCTCAATCAAAGGCCGTGACAGCGAAGGACGATCGCGTTCACCAGCTTGGAGGCGCGCGTCGTACCAAAATTTAGTGCTGTCGACAAATGCTGCCACCATCGCTGCTGTCGACCATTCTAGTGTGCTCGGCGGCCGTAACGTCGGGCACGACTCTGGGCTTTGTCGGTGTTGGCGTGATGAATGAGGCGCTCGTGCGCGGGCTCTGCACGCTCGAAGTGCCGCCGGAGGCGGTCGTGCTGTCCCCTCGCGGCGCCGCCAAGGCCGCGTCCTTGTCGGAGGACTTCGAGGCGGCGACGGTCGCAGCGGACAACCAGCAGGTGCTGGACCGGAGCGACATCATATTTCTCGGCGTCCTGCCTGCCCAGCTCGAGGCGGTGTGCCGTGAGCTCCGCTTCGAGCCGAGGCACACCGTCGTGTCGCTCGTGTCCACCGCTCCGCTCGCGCTGCTGCGGGAATGCTGCAGCCCTGCGGGCAAAGTGATGCGCGCCATACCTCTGCCTCCGGTCGCGCAGCACCGAGGGGCGACCGTCATGTGCCCGCCCCATCCTGTGGTCACTCCGCTCTTCGAGTCGCTCGGCACTGCCGTGGCGGTGGAGGCCGAGGAGACCCTTCTCAAGCTGATGCCCGTCACGGCCCTCATGGGCCAGCTCTACGCGCAGCAGCGCACCACGCAGGGCTGGCTCGAGGCGCAGGGCGTGCCGCCGGAGACCGCGGCCGCCTGGACGGGCGCCGTCTACCACTGCGTCACGCACGGCTCTGCCGACGCGGGCCCGAGCACCTTCCGAGCGCTGGTCGAAGAGCAGACGCCGGGCGGGCTCAACGAGCAGGTCGTGCGGAGCTTGGGCGAGGCGGGCGCGTACGACGCGCTCGCCGCCGCGCTGGATACCTGTCTCGGGCGCATCACAAGCGCTTGCGGGTGCGCGGCGCCGGCGCCGGCGGGGCCAGAGGAGGCGTGCTAGTTGAGGAGTATATGAGAAGAGGGTACGAGCCGACGTGCTAACTGTCGACTCATTCTTGCGCCGCTCTTGGCATATCTCAAGTGGGAGATGTGAAACCCTGCTCCCGCCTCGCCCGGGGCCCTCGGCCTCGCCCCGCGAGGATCTCCACACGAGACCACGTGGGCGCGCGCACTTCGCTGCGGGCCCGGTCTGGGCGCGACGACGACCCATGCAAGCCCGCGGGAGAGAATTCGCTTTTTTCTTTGGTCAGTGCATGTCCATGTGGGGCCCGTCTCTCGCGTCTGACTGGTGGTGGTGCAGGACTGGTGACTCTCTCCGCGCACGGCCCACGGGGTCCGGGTCTCTCGCGTCTCAGAGGTTAGGTTAGGTAGGAAGCGTCTGAACCACAGCGTGTCCCGGTGCATATCCCGGGGGTGTTTCTCTTCTTATCCGTTACCATGTAGAGCAAGACCGAGGGCGGGCCCTTTCCCGGCTTTCGTGCTCGGGCCACCCTCTCGCCCTGGAAGGTGTCTCCCACAGAGTGCTATGTATGTAGGAAGGTGAAGGACAGCCAGGCTCGGACTGGACACCAACGCGGTATGGGTGGACGCTGGACAGATGATGACGGCACGCACGAGCGACTCACAGAAACAAAGAGGGCTCAAATAAAAAGAAAAAAGCTGGTTTCGCTACTGTGCCGTACGAAAGTCTGCCCAGGTTGGTCAGGACACGATCCCGGCGTGAACACGACTAACTGACGGATCCGCTCCTGACAGTCGCACGCGCCGCGCTGCGGCGCGTGCGACTGTCTTTGTTTGAAGTAAAAAGTCGAATCAGAGCGGCGTCGGCGGTGTCCTGAGTTTTCCTCCCACGGACCGCCCGTCCGGCACCGCTCCGGGACGCACGCCGGCGAAGCACCATCAAGCTGCTGTACGGCCCCGGCATCGCCTCCCCAGGCTTAGCTAAAGTGAGAGATATTGTGCACATGGTCTGTCTCTACAATATACTCACTGACACTGAACCTCCCAGAGCTCGTCCCGGTCCGCCACGGCCATCCTCGGCCTCCGGAGGGCCCCCGGCCGCGGCGCGGTGCGGCGGCGTCACAAATCCGACCACAGAGCACCGGGACGCGGTCGGGCGATCTGAGGCCCAGTGAGGCGTATGCATTGCCCATCCAGGGCTATCACCTGGACCTATCAACAGGCGCCTGCGGCGCCGTGCTCAGGAGCTGCTGCTCACACCTGTTCACACTTTGGTACGGTACAGTATCCAGCGTTTGCGTTGAGCGGGCACATGCAGGAACTGCTCGCTCTCGCAGACGCAGCCGACGCTGCAGAGGCAATCTCTGAGCCCTCGCCAAAGCGGGTGCGCACGCAGCCACTGCGAGTCCCTGAGTCCTTGGTCAACGCAGCAGCCGAGAGCCTGGCGCTGCTGCTCACCGGCGCGGTCCAAAAGGACGGGGAGGCAAGCAAGGAAAAGAAGCGCGCGAAAAAGGCTGGCCGCTCTGGCCGGTCTGGCCGGTCTGGCCGGTCTGGCTGGCTACGGAGCGACGGCAAGCGCTGGGACGGCGGGCGGTCTGGCCGGTCTGGCTGGCCACAACGCGCGCCCCCCGAGCTCTCGGGCACGATGGCTGACGTGGGCCGCATCGTGCTTGTGCCGCGCGCGTTGTGGCCAAACGAGCCGTGCACCGAGCAGCGCGGGCAGGGTTGGCTGGCGGTGATTCGAGAGGCCAAGCAGCGCCGCTGCACGGTCCGCTTTCTGAATACGGTGGCGGCGGACGAGCACCTAAGCGTCGATGTGCTGAAGCTGAAATACGACGGCTGCCGGGGCAAGCAATCGACCGCGTCGGTCAATGACCCGAAGCCAAAGGTCAAATCCACCAAGGAGCCGTCGGTGGCTGAGCCGGCTGCGGCGCCGCCCGCCGACGACGCGCCCAAGCCAGCGCGCAAAAGCCGCACCCGCCCGCCGCAGCCGCTCACCGGCACCTCCGCCGACGTGGGTCGGAAAGTGCTCATCCCGCACTCCGTCTGGCCCGACGAGACATGCAAAGAGGAGGATGGGCGCGGCTGGATGGCACGGGTCGTCAAGGTGCACCGCAAGGGCGTGTATGAGCTGCGCTTTTGCAAGGCGCGCGCGGCGGACGTGTGCCTTGCCATCGACGTGCTCGAGCCCATGCACAAGCGCCGCCCAAAGCCGGCCGACGACCCGACCAGGCCGGAGCTCGGCGCGCCGGCCGGCCGCTCCAAGCGAAAGCAACCCGACAAGCCGCGCGAGGCGGTGGCGCCCTCCGCGCTCGGCCTCTTTATGCGCGCTGAGATTGCGCGCCTGCGGCAGGCCAACCCGGGGATGGGCATCGGGCAGGCGCAGACGATCGCGGGCAGGAACTGGGCCACCAGCGAGGACAATCCGGAGACGAAGCGGCGCGGCGCGGCGCCGCACATCTTCCCCGAGCCGCGCGACGCGCAAGGGCGGCTCGTCCTGTGAGGTCGTGTGTTTAGTGTGGCGCTTGCAGCTACGTCGGTGCCTCTTGGGGGGCTCGGGGGCCCCCGGAGGCACCGTGCGCCGCGCAGCAGTGCGGAAACGGGGCCCCGGCTCTATTAGTCTCTATTAGCACCGACTTCCCGATCTAACCCGGTCTAACAGAGGGCAGATTTGGAGAGATCTCGAGGAGTACGTTCAGATAGATATAAGTGGGGGAAATGGTAAATTTTGAAAGTCGCACTCAAGCACGGCAAGCTCAGCACTGACTGTGGACACTATGGGGAGTCTACAGCTATGCCCCTTGCATCCAGGGACCGACCACACGAGGGCCCACGCCCGTCTCAAGACAGACAAATTTCGGTCACCGGCGCGCGCGCGGCGGCCGGCGCCTCCTCCTCCTCCTCCTCTTCAATGAGCGGCGTGCGGGGCGGGCCGGTGGCGCCCAGCTCGCGGGGATCGAGCCGCCACCCATACGAGACGGGCTTGTTCCACTTCTCGGGAAGAAAGGCGATCCATCTCTCCCCCGCCGGCTCGTCGTACTCGGGGTCGGCGTCCCAAGCCCAGAGCAGCATGCCGGCCGGGAGGATCTTGCGTGCGCGCGGGCTCCTCTTGTCGGTAAGGCCGTCCGCGACGCGCTTCACCCGGCCGGTGGCCCAGATCTTGACCGTCCTACCGTCCTCCTTGTATGGCCAGCACACCTCCAGCCACTTGCCCACGAGGCGCGTGTCGAAGGGGGGGGCCTCGCGGTCCTGCCGCACCTCGACGCTGTCCGAGATGCCCGCCGCCTCGCGCCGCTCCCGCGCGGCCTTCGCCTTCTCGAGGAGGTTCGAGACGTTGAAGATGCTCTGCTGCTCCAGGCGCAGCACGTCCGCGTCGGCGGTGCCCAGGGTCTTGATCGAGCGGACCTTATGTGAGAGAGGACAGGCGCACCCCCCCCCCCTCCCCAACACACCCAACCGACTACCATGGCGCAACCAACCCGAGACGAGACCTCGACCCGCACGCAGGGGTTCTAGACCACGCCGCCATGCCTCGGGATAAAACCCCCGTCGGCACGCTGACGGCGCGCTCGCCGCCCGGCGGCGAAGGCAGGCGGGTCGGCGCGCTGAGCCGCGTGATGCCCACGCCGTGGGCCAGCAGCGCTGGAGCGCATAGGTCGGGGCGCATAGGTTTTTATTAGCAACAAATCAAAAGATTTTTTTTTTCACCTGTGTCCGCATCGGCAACTGTGGCACGCTCGCTCCTCGCGATTTCAGATGGTTCCTCTTCCGTGGTGGCTGCGGCCTTTCACGAGCCATTTCTCCAAAGCGCCGCCGCCGCCCCGCTCCCCCCCCCGGCCGCCGCCGCCTCCGCCGCCTCCGTCCCGGCTGTGGCCCCTTTCGGGCGGGCGGCGAGGGGCCTGCCGCGTGCAAGGCTCGCGCGCCAGTCCCGTGCCCAGTGCGAGGCAGTTGTGTTGACGCGATCACCTTCGCCTGCCCTGGTCGCTCAGGCGGCAACACGGGCAGCTTCGACGAGATTTGGACGGTGGGAGAGTACCAATGCCAACAGCTGTGCGCCGCGTCGCCGGCCTGTGTGGCGATCGGCTATGTCTTTGCAGGCAGCGCTCGCGAGACCGCGCCCTGGAGCACGCAAACATAGACAGACCCCTGGAGCACGCAAACATAGACAGACAGACGAACAGACGACAGAGAGACAGCACTGCAGAGACAGCAGACATGCCGACAGCGTGTCCTGCCCCTGCCCCTGCCCCTGCCTCCTTCCCCCACAGGCCGCATGCAGAAGTGCGAGCTCCACAACGTCCGCCTTCACCGCCTACCCTTTGCGCCGCATGGCCGCAACGGCGTCTCTTCACGCGCCTAGTCTCGTGGGAATAGGCGCCCGCCCACACGACTTCCACTCGCGCTTGTAAACAGCGTCTCCTTTTACGCCCTCCGTAAGCTGTGGCACAGGCGCCTATCTACTCCATCATGCCGATCGGGTCCACGTCGTGCCGCATCAAGCCGGGCCTGACGCCGGCCGGTGTCCACACCACACACCCCTTCGGGGAGGAGGCGGCGCCAAAAGGCGAGACGAGCCGTCGAAACCGCGCCCCTCACGTGTGAGTATAGGCTTCCGAGCCTCCCCGACACGTCACGCCGCCGCCACGCCTCTCGCCCCAGCGCCGCCTCTCCCGCTGCCTCCGCCGTCGCCAGAGTCGCCGCCCTCGCCGAGCCCGCCGCCGCCCTCGCCGCCTCCGCCGTCGCCTCCGCCGCCGTCGCCACCACCTCCGTCGCCGCCGCCGCCCTCGCCGCCGCCCTCGCCGCCTCCGCCGTCGCCTCCGCCGCCCTCGCCACCACCTCCGTCGCCGCCGCCGCCCTCGCCGCCGCCCCCCTCGCCGCCGCCGCCGCCGCCCACGCCGCCGCCGCCGAGCAGACCTCCCCTTCCTCCGCCCTCGCCGCCGCCGCCGCCGCCGCCGCCCTCCCTTCCGCCCTTGCCGCCGCCGCCGTCGCCGCCTCCCTCGCCACCTCCCTCGCCTCTGCCCTCCGCCCCGCCCTCGCCGCCGCCGAACGACTGCCTCGCCTACGCGCAAGGAGAGGGCTCCAACTTTGTGCCCTGCACAGGCACGTCGGCGGCGGGGGTAGCGCGGCACATGCGCCGCGTCGACCTGCGCTACCACAACCTGCTCTCCTCCGCTTTCGACGGCGTCGACATGCGCGGTGCCAACTTGGACGGCGCCGACTTGCGCGGCAGCACCATGTACGACACCAACTTGGCCGGGGCGAGCCTGCGCGGCGCGCGGCTGGCGAAGGTCCAGTTGGCGCGCGCGAACCTGCAAGGCGCCAGACGGCCTCTCGGGCGCTGTGAGGGCGGCAGCGAGCGCGACAACGGTGAGCGTGTCGCGGGTTGTGGCACGCGGTAGGCGCTGACTTCACCGGCGCGGAGCTTCTCGAGGCTGACTTCACAGCGGCCGTCTTCACCGATGTTCACTCGCGCGGCTTGAAGTCGGAGAGAGCGGTCGCGACAATGGTGAGATGAGTTTGATGTGCGTAGGCCGACTTCAGCCGCGCGCGGATGGCCCGTGTCACCATCAAGCACATTTCTGAAGGGGCGCGGGCCATCTTCGACGGCGCCGACTTGCGCGACGCGCAGGTCACCGACAACGAGCTGCCCAACACCTCGTGGGTCGGCACCGAGTTGCACGCAGTGGCGATGGAGGACACCGGGCTGCAGGGCGCGCGCATCGAGCGGGCCGACCTCTCCGGCGCGCGCTTCGTCGACGTGCGCATGCAGGGGGCGCTGCTCCTGTCCACCTCCCTCAAAGGGATCAACATGCGCGCCGCCACCGGATGCTGCGCTCTAGGGCCGAGCCGCCGACACGACCTGACGCGGGGGGGTGCCTTGCCGACCGCTGTAGGAACGGCCCCGCCAACCTCACTCGCATCACCATCTCCAACTCGTCCTTCCAAGACGCCTTTCTGCCCGGAGCTCTGCTCGTGGAAGCTAACGCTCGCGGCGTGGACTTCTCGGGTCCCTTTCCTGTCGGCACTGCGACCGTCGCACGTTTGCACGCACGAAGCAGCGCCCCAAATATACCCCGAATAGGCGCTATCCTTCCGAACGCCGACTTCCGACACGCCCATGTCGATGGGAGCTCGTTCCGCGGTGCCAGGATCACGGACGCGGTCTTCTCTTGGTCACACCTCAACGCCACCGACTTTACCGATGCCGTGGGGGTGGGCAAGGCTTTGTGGACCGGCTTTCGAGGCACACCGGTCGGATTGCCGCCGGGCCTGCAGTCCCTGTTGAGATAGTCGTCGGCGCCCTTAGGGGTGGAGGTATCTAGATAGAGAGAAGAAAAACGACGCCGCCGTCTAACACAGAGAGTTTTAAGGTGTTTGGTGTCTCCAGACTTGAGACTATTTATTCGGATTTCGCGCCACGCGCGTTGGTGACATGGCCAGTTGGCAGGATCGTGCAGCTAGGGCGGGGACACATGTCCCTAAATCCCATCTCGTCTCAGAGTTTGACCGTTTTATTTATTTATTTATTGGCAGTTGCTCCCACATGCTGTATGCCCTTCTACCCCGCGCGATCCGCTTGGTCGTTGGTGCGTGCTGCCCGTCGGCGTCGCCGGCGTCCCTCGACATGAATGTCTCATCGTCGCTCGCCGTGCCACGTCGGCCAAAGGACTGGTATCATACCACAAGGTGGGCGGTTTTCACCGGATTTCGAGATCGGGGGTGATGCGAGGCGCGACTGGTATCGGGGCGTACGAGATCGCGGTGAGAGGCTCGCCAAGCACCGCTCAGCGGCGAGGGGGAGGGCGGTGGCGGCGGCGGCGAGGCGCGAGGCGGTGGCAGCGGTGGTGCGGACGGCGGGATTGACAGGGGAGGCGGCGGCCACGAGCGGAGCGGCGGCGAGAGGGGGGGCAGCGGCGAGGCGTGCCGGCGAGCGAGGCGCCCGCGCCATCAGAGGGACGCCGCCGCGAGATGGAGGGCGGCGGTGACGGACGGTCTCGGGCACCGCACCCGTGCTGCCACAAAGCACAATGTGCTGCCACAAAGCACCACTAGCGATTTCGCGCGGAGGGCGTAGTGAAGTGCTGGGGCGCTCACTGTGTGTTATTCGGGTGGGGATCCATCAGTGGTAAGCGGCTTTAGTCACAGATCCAAGCTTAGACGTCACACCAACACCACAAACACGCTCACTTCGCCGCTGCTGTAGATGGGCCTCCGCGGGCCCATGCTACGTCGAGGCACAGACCCGATCTCGGCACTCACGGGCTGCCACGCGCCCGCGCGCGGCGCGGGCCGCACCGCCCATGCCCCCGGGTCACCAACCCCGCCTCTCGGCCCTCTCGGCCCTCAGGAGCGTGCGGGAGACCGGCGAGGGGCGCGCCGCGCGCCGCCTGCAGAGCCGCCAGAGGCATTGTGCGTCGCCTCCGCTGGCGGGGTTCCCGCGCGCCCGCCCGCGCCCGCGCCCGCCCACGCCGCGCCCGCGGGCTCCGGATGCGCCGCCCTCCGTCTCCTTCTTCTCGATGGCAGTCCACGCGTGCTTGTCGACGGGTCGGCGGCGTGGTCGAGGGGACGCACTAATCCCGCGCCCCGGTTTTTTCGCCAGCCTAGTGCGTTCGGTTGATTGAGGAAACCCCTCGAGTTACAGGTCCTGGCTTCGGTTTCGCAACAGCTTCGTTTTCACAACACGGCCGCCTCGCGACGCCGCGCCGTCGTGCAGATCGTGTCCGAGCCATCCACAAGGCCGCCGGCACATGTGCCAATGTGCCCGGAGCGCAGGGAGTCGATGGGTGCCGCAGTCCAAGCGATCACTGCACTGCAGTGCTCGCTCGCACTGCGGCGCTGCGCCACGGCGGCGAAGCATGTCTGGACTTCAAGGACAGTGCTTCTCCGCTGCTCGAGGCTTGCGGCAAGGTCCAGGCCGACCACACAGAGCACCCGAGGCAGCTGGCGTGGCCTCACTCATGACCTGTGCTACCCGTCGGCGGGGCCAGCTGCGGTTTCACAACGCGCCTCATTTTTGGCACCCTCCTGCTAGCCGCTCATGAGTAGGGAGACCGTGTGTGGTGTCTTCGCGGCCTAGAGCACCCTCTTGGCAGTCTATATTCCGGATTTTAGCCCTCCTGTCGCATCTGGTGAGCCGTACCATAGCGAGGACCAAACGCGTTGTGAAACCAAAGCCAGGACCTGTAGCTGCTTAGTCGCGTGCGCGTATGCTCGCTGTCGTTGCAGTCTCTGGAGGCTGCGCCGCGGCTCCCGAGCGGCGCGTGACCCGTGCCAGTTTTGGTAAGGTTTTGCGCACCCTCTCAACTGACTCCCTGAGGCAGGGTGGCGCGGGTGCGGGGTGGCTCGGCAGCTCGGCGGGAGGCCTCCGACCCGGCTACCTTGTGCTGTTGAAGTTGCTGCAGGAGACGCCGATGACGATGGCGCTGTCCTCGCGGCTGACCAGCGTCCGGGCTCGCTGGCGCGCCGCCCGGGATAGCACTGACAGTCTGCCGGCGCAGCGGGCGCATTCGAATGCGCCCGCCGCGCCGGCAGACTGTTGGACGGCCACAGTCGCGAAAGTGGGGTGAAATCCGTGCGGCGCAGTGGCAGCGGTGGCCAGGCGGCCCCTCTCGGGGCCGCGTTGCGCAGGCGCGCCGCGCCATGAGCGGCGACCGTGGTGAGAACGCGATGTGCCACTTGCTCTCACTTAGCAGCTAACTATGATAGAACAAGTTTGAAAACCTGAGCGAAAAAACCGGGGGTCGGGATTAGTGCGAGGTCGCAGGCGGCCGCAACTCTGCCGCCGTCGCTCCGCCGGCTCTGACCGAGTATCGGGCGTTGAGGGCGGCGGCGCAAAGCGAGTCTGGCGCATCCATCGCCACGAGCCTCGCGGCCGCGGTCGTGGCACACCTGGTGGCGGCTCTCGGGGCCGTCTCTACGGTGCTCGACACCGTGTGAGGTCGCCGGCGGCCGCACCTCTGCCGCCGTCGCTCCGCCGGCTCTAACCGAGTATATCGGGCGTTGAGGGCGGCGGCGCAAAGCGGGTCTGGTGCGCCACGGCCACCACCCTTGCCACCGCCCTTGCCGCCGCCCTTGCCACCCTTTGCCGCCTTGCCTCCGCCGCGGGCGGCGGTGGGAGCGGCCTGCTGGGCTAGCATGTTGTCCTTGCTGGGGACGGGCACGTGGAACGTCAATTCATGTTCGAACGGCCTCCGGGATTCAAACAAAAAATAGCCGGGGCCCTCTCGCAACCCATCCGACCCCCCGGGACCCGTGGGCGTCGAAGAGGCGCTCTCGGGGGGCCGTTCTGAGTTCATGCTACCACGAAGCACACTGTGCTGCGTCAAAGCACCGGCCCCGAGTCCGCGGAGGCGAGAGGCGAGGCGGCGGCGGCGGCGGCGGCGAGAACGGCGGCACCGAGTTTGTCTCGGTGAGCGGAGCGGCGGCGGGAGGAGGAGCAGCGGGCGCTCGCTCGCTGTTGCGCTGTTTTGAGCCTGGGATCCCATGCCACTGCGACCGGCGTGCCCGGGAACGGAGATCGCGCGCGCGCCGCATTCACGACGCGCGCGCGATCTTCGCGGAGTCGGGTCCCCAGAGGGAAGCGGTCTTTTCGGCCGACGTCCAGCGGCGCGCAAGGAAGCAGGCGCAGCGCCGGCGGTGTCGCGCTGCATGGGCCAGCAGGGTGCAGTGGCGAGGGGCGGCGGGCTCGGACGTCCACCGAGTCGCTCCTTCGGCAGGGTCGCTCCTTCGACGGCGACGCCTTCGCCATGTCCAGGACGCGGCCGTCGAAAATCACAGCATTTCATGCAGGGGCTCGTGGTATTCGGCACACCTCCCTACCGGTATAATCCTACGCGCGAGGTTTTCTTTTTCTGCCATACAGCAGGTCTTTTTCTTACGGCCAACATGGCGAGGTGCTGGCGTCGCCCCACGCCGAAGCTCAGACGCCGAAACTCAAAACCGCGCCCTTCGCTGCCACAGGCACGTGCCTCTCTTTCCCAACTGGGTGGTGCGCCATGTGCGCAACCCGGACCTCAAGACCGCGCCGTTCCTCAAGCGGCCGGTGCTGCAGTTCCTCGTCTCGCCAAAGATGAACAAGCTCGAAATCGCCGAGTACCTGCGCAAGCTCTACGGCATGCCCGTCACCAAGGTGCACACCGCCAACTACGACGGCAAGGAGAAGCGCGACCCGCGCGATCCGACCAAGAGGCAAACACACCAACCCCGCCCGCCCGTCCACCAACCGCGCCAGGCCTCCTTCTCCGCCGGCAAGCGTCGAAGGCCAGTTGGTGAGAGACCGCACCGATCGGCTGTCGCGCAGGAAGAAAACCGCCGCGTACAAGAAAGCGTTTGTCTACCTCGCCGGTGCGCTCGGCCGCGCCTCTCCGCCTCTCTTTTCCCGCACGCCTGCGCCGCCCCGCACGCGCGCGTCTCTGGGTCCGCCTCCGCGCGCCCGTGCCGCGCCACACGCAACGTCTCTCACTGCCGTGGCTCCCGCCAACTCTCTAATACTCCCTCCCTCCGACTCCCTCCCCTCGCCGCCCGCACCTCCAGACGAGCAGGGGGCGCAGCGGCCGCGCTATCACGAGGTCGAGGCGCAGCTGACGCCCGAGGCGCTCGCGTCGTGGCCCGCCAAGCCTGGGCTGAGCGCGCGCGAGCTGAGAGAGCAGGCGGAGCGAGCAGGGCGAGAGGGGTGAGACCTGGTGAGAGCCTGAGACTCGCGGGCAGCGTCGGCGGCCCCTGTCGCCCGTGGGAGGACGAGGAGCTATCTTTTGTGTAGTCAGTCGGATTGTGTGAATCGTACATGATTTATCATCGAACGTATAATCTCCACGTAGCGCAAACCTAGGCCAAACCGACCACGCCTCCACGAACCTGCTCACAGTGTCAATGAGAGTAATCAGTAAAAATAAAAAAGCCTATAAAACAAGAGAGCGCCATGCTGCCTGCTCTACTGGGGTCACGTGATGTCACTCGACCGCGGGCCTGTCCGGAATGACACCGTCGACAAGCCAGCACCCGGCGACCGATTCAGCGTGGTACTGCGCCGCCAGCTCGTCGCGCACGGTGTACGTGCCCGTCTCTTTGTCCAAGGACAGGAGGAGCTCCGCGGCCGCTGGGTGCTGCAGCCGCTCGCTCACCGGCGAATCGGGAACGATGTTTTCCTCTGCCACGTATGACATCTGCGCGCCAGGGCGGTCGCGCTCATCGACGAGCACATTGTAAAAGGGCTGCATGCGCCCGCGCGTGAGCCCTTCGACGTTCATCATTTGCATCCACTCCTCACTCTGTGTGCACTCCAGGTCGTAGCCAACGATGACACCTCGATACTCATACTTTCGGTGTCGCAGCGCCTGACCGATGCTGAAGGTGGCGGCTTGTTCGCCCTGTTGAGAGAGCTCCCAGCTGTAGTCGACAAACGGGTCCGCCACCGCAAATGGTGCACTGCTGCTGCCGGCCGGCCGCACGCGCACGCGACACCGCCACTTCCGCGGCGACACCGACAGCACCGACAAGATCTCAAAGCTCGTACACCCGACCAGAGGAGCGTACGCCGGCGTCTGCTTCACCATCCGCTCGAACTTGGTCCACGGCCCAGTGGCTCTCCGGTTGTTGGGCGATGCGAAAGAGAAGCAGCACCTGACGTCGCCACGCTGGAGCGCCGTCAGCTGCGCCTCGACGACTGCTTGCGGTGCGAGTCCGCGAGCCGGGGCGTGTGGAACTACGACTGCTAGTGAAAAGATCGCAGGGAAGACGGCGGCCAACATTCGGGCAGGATTCGAGCGCTGTTTCCGGGGCACTCTTTCCCAAAATACCGTCGGGTAAACAGCAATAGATCCGGGTGTAGTGCCGGATCAGTTCCTGGAGCCTTGGGGCAAATGTAGATTTCCCGAAATATTTTGAGAAATATAACAGCCTTGTTCGGAAGGAGAAATTTCCGGAAATTTACCATACCTGTGTTGACGCGAATGACACTGACGCCTGAATGACACTGACGCCCGATGACCTGCTTGACCGGTGACCGATGACCGCTGACCGCTGACCGATGACCAGCGTCAGCCTCTCCGCGGAGGCGCACCATCACTGCCGCGCGGGCCTGCCGGCTCAAGCAAGGCACGGCAGGCCCGCACGGTGCCTGGTCCAACATGGGGGACACCTTGTTTCCTTACACGGAAAGGGGCGAAACTTGAGCATGGAGTGACGGGGCGAAGAAATTTCTCGCAAATTTGCCGTGGCGGGGCACGAAATAAAGACGAAAGAAATGAAAGAAATATCCTTACGCTGGGCAGGAAATCTACATTTGCCCCAACTGGAGCCAGGGGGACCGATTCGCACTTGCCAAGGGACCAATTGCTGGAAGCCTGCGCAGCCTGCGCTCCGGCCGGCAGAGGGCTTGCGACCCGTGGCAGGGTGACAGCCCGCCGGTGGGCGAGCCAAACTCTGGCGGAGGCAGCCCGCTCAGCCCCAGGCGCCCCTCGAACCGGAGGGTGGTCTGCCGCCGCTGCGCGGTCGGCGCGCCGAGGGCGGGAGACATATCGCAGCTTCGCGCCACAGGTAACCTGGGGACCGATTCTCGACCCCAAGTTTGGCAGCGCGCGGGCAGTGTGAAGGATCGATTGCTGTACAACGAGGGACCGATTCCGTGAGGGCCGGGTATCGATTAGGCCGCTTGAGGGCCGGATCTATTGCTGTTTACCTCATCTTAAAATAGAGACCCGACGGTACCTCCGCTGGGATCTGGGTAAACTCTAGGATTCCTACATTCGCCGCGGGATGATGTGAGTCGCCTGTAGAGCGATGTAGAGGCGCTCTACAACGTGAAATCTCTACAACAAGATCTACATCATAACCCGCGAACGAGGCACGGTCGCTCTCCGACATGAGGCGCGTTGCACTTGCCAATGCTGCCCACTGACTGGCCGGCGCCTCGGTCGGCGCGTCAGCTCGGCTCGGCGTAGCGATAGTGGCCAGCGCAACTCGCCTGGACTCAACGCTCAGCCAGGAGCTCCCGCACGCGCTGGCGCGAGTCATGGCGCATGCAACGCTCAGCAATGATCGCCTCGCCTCGTGCAAATGCGACCGTCCTCGCAGCCGACAGTCCACCGCCTGCTAAAGAAGCACAGCGACGAATGCGGCACCGGCGACGCATGGCAGGCTGGTCATGACGCAGTCATAGGGTGTTGTGTGCCGTCAGAGTGACTCTCTGTGTGTGAGTGTGTCAGGGATAGTCAAGCCCGTCCATCAGAGATCCAGTAAGCTCGGAGACACCCCATTGGCGCGGCTCGACCTCTTTGAGTCACTGCCTTCCCGGCGGTTTGGCTGTAGACAGTAGAGCCTCTACAACCATCTCTACAGCAAATCGCGCTCTACATCGCTCTACAGGCGACTCACATCGTCCCGCGCCGGATGTAGAGCTCTACAGCTCTACAGCACTCTACAGTCTCTACAGCTCTACAGCGCTCTACACTCTATACACCCTCTACACCCTCCCTCAGTAAACAGGCCGGTGCCAGCCCACGAGCGGTCGTCTCTCGACACGAGCGGCACGCTGGGCCTGGGGTGGGTGGGGGCGTCAATCAACACAGATGGATGGAGCTTCCGCTTTCCTTATTATCCACCGTTCCATTGGTGTGGTGGCGAGATCCAGCAAGAACATGGATGTGTGGCGGCGAGGCGCGCGGCCCGTCCCGGGTTGTGACACATAGAGTATAGGTCTAGGTAGGGCCTAGGGGCGGGCCGCGCACGCCGCCCCGCGACGCGCCGCGCTTCAGAGATGGGGAGGAGTAGAGCTGTTTAACATTAACTTTGGGCCTAACAGTTGCGCTAGTGTTGGCTGAAATCCTTAACGTTGTTCAAGTGTTCACCCCAGCCCATGCTGTTACTGGTTGTTACTGTTGTTACTGTTGTTCAGCGGTCAGCAAGCAGAAAATGCCAAAAAACCCCGGGTAAAACCCGAAAATACCCGGATTTTTCCGGGTATTTTCGGGTATTACCCGCACTGAACGCTCTCTGGAGATCGTCGTGGGTCACTGCCAGGCCTTCCTTATTGTTGTTCAGCCGGCCTAACGTTAGCTACTGTTGTTGGGGAGCCCCACTGTTGTTCTGTTGTTACTGTTAACACTAGCAACACTGTTCAGCTCCCAACGTTAAACAGCTCTAGGGAGGAGAGCCTATCGCGGCTTTGCCTTTACCTTAGAGAGATCGTGTTAGCCGCGGTGGGGGCCGATTTTTCGCGAGTTTTGGGATCCCTAGAGCTAGACCCCCTAGACGGCAAGGAGCCCGAGCACAGCCTTTTCTTTGCGAAAAGAAAGATCGAAAACCTCCCCTCCGTTCTCATGCCGTGTCGCGCGCCTCGGCGAGGAGCGACCGGATCCGCTGCTCGACGCCGTCGATGTCTCCGCCCACCACGGGAAGGTCCTCCTCCTCCGCGTCGCGGAAGAACTTGAAGGTTGGGAACGAGTCCACCTGGAGGCCACAGCACGAGGGGCTGGGTGGATGCCTGCGGAGACAGTGTGCCCATCTTTCTTTGTGAACCGGGACGCCCCTCGGAGCTCTCTGCGGTATGCTCCCCCCATCTCGTGAGGCGCGTCCGCGTTGTTCGTCACCTGGTGGTCCCCCATCAGCTGCGGCGTCATCTCCGCGTCGAGCCGCGCAAACGTGACGCCAGCGAACTCCGGCTTGAGCGAGAGCGCGGCGAAGAGCGGCTTGACGGCGGCGCACGGGCCGCACCACGGCGCGCCAAAGTCGGCGACGAGCAGCCCGCCTGCAGGGACAGGCACGCGATGGCGCGGGGAAGGCTCGCTGCAGTGCGCACAAGGTGGCGCGACCAGGCAGCCCGCCCCCAGAGGCAGCAGGTCGTATCGCTCCACCTCGGCTACTTCTCGGCTATCTCGCGCCCCCCGGGGCCATCAGCAAGTCGTACCACGCCTCGGCGCTCTCCACCGCCACCACCCGCCCCTCGCCCGCGCCTCCGCCCGCCGCCGCCTCCGCCTCCTTGCGCAGCTCTGCCAGCTGGGCCGTCAGCGCCTCGACCGCCGCCGGCCCGCCGCCGAGGGCGCTCTCCACGCGCGCCGCGTTGTCGCCGTGCGCGAGCAGCTCGGGCACCTGCCTCGCCGCCAGAGGTGAGAGGCGCGTGCTACTTTCGCCACGCCGCGTGCGAGAACCAGCAGGGTGTGCATGCGGCGTCGCGCCCTGCCGGCAGAACCGTGTGTGCCGTCCCGCATCTAGCGCCAAAGCACGTGCGGCGCGCGCAGCTCTGCCGCAACCGTCTCCAGCAGCGGCGCGGGCAGCGCCCGGCACGCCGCAGGCAGCGCGCCGGAGAAGCGGGTTGGCCAGCCAGCCTCCCGATACTGCGCGGCGGTCAGTGCGTGGCGGAGGTGCGCCGAGCCGCGTCGCAGCTCGGTCGCCGCGTCGGCGGTGGCCGGCAAGACAAACTCCTCTGCGCCCCCGCCGCCGATGCTGCACACACCGCCCTCGCACACCGGCTGCGCTGCCGCCCGCTCGAAGCCGAGGGCGGCGAGCGCGTCCGCCGCGGCGGGCAGGCTGGCGAGGCCGCGCTGGAAGGCCTGTCGGCAGATGGTAGAGGTGTGAAGAGACGGCCGCTTCATGCGTCCACGGCAGGGGCTGTGGCGAGGTTGCAGCTTGAGCGCCTTGGCGGACGAGCGGATGGTGCGGAACTTGGCGTTGTCCGGATCGGCGAGAGCGTTGTCGCAGTACCGCAGCAGGAGCGACACGCATCGCGCAAAGGCCGCGTCCGAGCCGCTCTGCCGCTGCAGCCCGTCCAGGGCAGCGGAGAGCGCCGCTGGCGGCGGCTCTTCCCTCGGCGGCGGCTCCGCCTGGGGCGGCCGCGCCTCGTACCACGGCGCCGCTGCGTCGCGGGAAGACGCTGCGGCCGGCGTCGCGAAGGCTCTCTCGATGTAGTCAAGAGCCGCCTTCGATGACGATGCCGCGAGCGCTTCAATGACGATGCCGGCGGGACGGTGAGCGGCGGTGAGCGGCAGCACGCGCGGACCAGCGTGTTCGCGCGGACCAGCGGAGGCCGGCAGCGGCAGAGAGCTGCCGATGGGCGGCGCGGGCAGCGAGCCGACCAGGCCGAGCAATAGAAGGAGGTCCATGTGGTTGGGTGGGGGCGGTGGACCCCGGCCAGGCTCGCCTCCACACCACAGCCTTCCAGGCCTCAGCTACGCCTTGGGTTTCAAACACCCCGCGGCCAGCACACAGGCTCGACGGAGTTGCGCCGACAGGCGAAAGAAGCCGCGAGAACAAGGGACCGGCAGGCGGCGGCGTCGCAGGACGGGGCAGAAGAGAACAACGCGACAGAGGAGGAAGTGACAAGGGAGAGAACGACGAGGGTGGGACGACCGCGTGGTGGCATGAAGGTTGCAGCGAGAATCAGCGAGAGACTGCGAAGAGAGATAGGAAGAGGCAGACTCCCTAGGGTGGGCGACGGATAGCGCACCACACACCTCTCCTTAAAATCCCTGTGTGGTGGCGGCGTGCCGTCCTCCCATCCCTCCCTTGGGTTGTCTGTTTTCTTTCTTTCTTTACACAGGTGCGAACTGGCGCGTGCTAGTACTATCACCGGCACACCAGCAGCCTCAGCTGCGCGTTGGGTTTCTTGCCGTCGTCCCTGGCTGTGGGCAGGGGCCCGCCCCGCACACAGCGGGTCCCCAAGGGTGAATCAGCTTCGAAAATCCCGCCGCCTCGCCGCTACCTCGCCCGCTCGCGCCCGACTTTCCACCTCCTCGTGACCCAACCCGCCACCCCCCTCGCCCGTCACGCCGTCACCCTCCCGCCGCCTCGCCGCTACCTCGCCCGCTCGCGCCCGACTTTCTACCTCCTCGTGAAACACCCCGCCACGTCAGTCACCCTCCCGCCGCCCCGCTGCTCGCTTGCCCGCTCTGCCCAGCCGACCGACGCCCCGCCATCCGTTGCCGTTAGTTATGCCGCCGCTCCTTACTGTCCGCCGTGCCGTCGTTCTTTACCATACCGCGCCGCCTTTCCATACTTCCTGCTTCGACGGGGTTTGTGTTGAGGAGTGACCCGTGCCGCCGTGTGCCCCGCAGCGGCCTCGCTGGGCCAGAAAGTCGGCCCCGAGTGCCAGCAGCAGCCTCATTGAGCCAGAACGTCGGCTCGCGAGGTGTGGGTGCTAGTATGAGCCCGATCCGTCGCAGTGCTCTTGCAGAGGCGGTTAGTGGTGCACTAACCCCGAGAAACCCGTCGGGTCACTCCTCATCGCAAACCCTGTCAGCAGTCCTCCTCCAGGAATGTACGTAAGAGCCACATACATTGAGAGAGAGAGAGAGACATTGAAATAACCAAATCACTCCCACTCGGGAGATCTGCTCTACCCCTCCCCTCCCGAGGCAGAGCTGCGCAGTGCTCTCGGGGCGTTTGAGAACCCGCGTTACGAGGAGGGCCGGTGGCGCGTGCGCTTCCCAACACACGCGGCGGCGGGGGCGGCGGTCGTGGCAGCCACGGCAGCAGTGCGCTGCCGGGCGCCATCGCTGCCTTCCTCTTCTACAACGGCCGCCCCCTTACCCCGCTCGCGGGTGCGCTGTGGTTGACCGCCGCCATCACCACCACGCTATTGCAATACAGCGACTGCTTCAGCGCCACGCCCCTCTCCGCTGGCAGGTGGACGACTTTTGAGAGCGCCGTGAGCACCGAAGCGCTCGCGCAACTCGCATACTACCCAGGGCTGGGCAAGCTGCTGGAAGAGCGGCTGCCGCCCAAGGTCATCGAGATCGACGGCGAGGGGCCCCGTGTGGCAGAGATGGAGGACCGCGCCGACGAGGGGATGGGGCCGCGTAACAAGCGCGTGATCGCCGCGATCCAGGAGGCCGCCTTCACGGGCAAGGGTGACAAGCCGGTGGTCGTCCAGCTGTACCGTGACTATGCTGTCAAGGTGCAGAACGCGCTGGCTGGCTCGGGCGAGAGGTCGAAGGGGGAGTACGAGGGCGAGCGCAACGCGGCGGGAGAGAGGGAGGGGCGCGGCGTCATGCGGCGCGCCAACGGCGACGTCTACGACGGCGAGTGGAAGGCGGGTAAGCGGGGGGGGCGCGGCATCATGCGGTACGCTAACGGCAACGTCTACGACGGCGAGTGGAAGACAGGCTTGGTCGAGGGGCGCGGCGTCTACCGGTACGCCAACGGCAACGTCTACGACGGTGAGTGGAAGGCGGGTAAGAAGGAGGGGCGCGGCGTCTACCCTTTCGCCGAGGGCGACGTCTACGAGGGCGAGTGGAAGGCGGATAAGGAGGAGGGGCGCGGCGTCTCCGGTGCGCCAACGGCGACATCTACGACGGCGAGTTCAAGGCGGGTAACAGGGAGGGGCGCGGCGTCGTCCGGTTCGCCGACGGCAACGTCTACGACGGCGAGTACAAGGCGGATGAGAGGGAGGGGCGCGGCGTTTTCCGTTGCGCCAGCGGCAGTGTGGAGTCGGGCTTCTACAAGCAGGGTGCTGACGTCGGCGAGGGCGTCAAGTGGATGGCAGACGGGCAGCGGGCGGTGCGGCTGCGTGACGGGGAGGAGGAGGAGATCTCGCTGGAGGAGGCGCGGCAGACCGCCGAGCGGCTCGGCCTCCCCATCCCGTCCCCGCTGCCTGGCGCGTGAGAGTGAGACATCACTCCGACCGGCGGAGGGCAGGCGGCGCTTCGGGAGGCGGCGACGGCAGCGGATGACAGTGCTTGGCGGAGTCGTGACGCACTGCGGGTCACCTCACACCCGCCGCGTTCTCGCACGAGGGGGCTGATTGAGCCCCGCGACACCACCTGGTCCAGTCGCTCGCCAGACTCTGAGAGAAGTGCCTGAGTGCCCAACACCAGAATGTTTCTCTTTCCCGAGAACGCGGAGCCAAAAGAAAATTCGCGACGTCCCTCACGCACGCGGTGTAACCTACACGCTACAAAGGCGCGGGGCGCCCTACTACACTGTGTGTGTGTGTGGTGGTGGTGGTGGTGGTGTGGGGGGGGAGCCCGAGAGCGATATGCCATGCGTGTGTCCGCCTTGTGTTGTTTCATAACATCGAAGGCTGTGTGTGTGTGTGTGTGTGCGTGCGTGTGAGAGTGTGTCGAGGTGTGATAGTGTCCCCACATGCTTAAACTCCTCACAGAGGCCTTGCGCGGCCAAGAGAGCAACTAAATAGCCGTGTCCGCGGCAATGGCCAATGCGTGTCGTATGTCGAGATTCAAGATTGTGTGGACGAGCGGATCAGTATCTAGATACCAAATGACGTGTGAGTGTTAGAGTTGTTGTAGATACCGTGATTGATAAAGGCGCACAAAAACTCTCTCTCTCTCTCTCTAAAGGCGTCGACGAGCCGGCGGCGTATTTATTCGAAAAGTGCCATGGTCCCCATTATATAGGCCAAACAATATAGGCCAAACAGGCACGAATTTCTTGTATGTGCCCGCTCTGGCGCCTAAGCGCCATTTCTTTCTTCAGCTCAAAACTCGCGATCTACAGCGAAAGGCAGCTGAAGCAAGGGCCCTTGTTGTCCCGCAATGGTGCCGACCCAAGGCGAGCTGGGGTGGCCGGACGGCGGAGGTGGTGTCCGAAAGGACGTGGTCATCACTGCCGTGGCGCACGGCTTACCCAACGTGCTCGACGAAGCCGCAGAGATCAAGGAGGCCTTTGGCGAGCGAGCCAAGCTGCTCCAAGACTGCAGCGTCGATGCGCTCGACGAGGCGCTTCAGGACTGCACCGTCTGGTTCTTTGCCGGTCACGGCGCGAGTCTTCAAGACGAGCGCGTGCTAGCCTTTGCGAGCGCGGATGGCGAGTATGAGTCGATTTCGATCGACGCGCTGGCCGAGCTCGTTTGGCCGCACGTGACTCGCGGCTTGGGGCTCGTGGTGCTGACGGGCTGCTGCACGTCCCAACTTGCGATAGCGCTGCGCGACCTGGCGAGTGTTCCGTGTGTCGTCTGCTGGGAGACCCTCGTCGCCGATGAGGCCGCGCGTGCCTTCGGCAGGGAGCTGGCTTGCAAGCTGAGCTCCGATGTCGACATCGAGTTGGCCTTCTCTGCCGCCCGCACGGCGGTGACCTGCCTGACCGAGCAGGGCAACCTTAACGGGTGCGCGGGGCAGGTACAAAAGTTTGAGCTTGCCGATCCGCGCGACGCGTCCAGGGTCCACCAGGGGAGGCCCAACCGCCACCGCCTGATCGTTGCGAACGGGAGGGGGCGCTTCGCTGCAGGCGTGCCTCGAGTGCTCGGCCTCGACCGGCCTGCGCTCGCGGCTGTCCCGCTCGACGCACCTCTAGCCTCGGAGACACACGCGCGGGAGATCGATCTCGGGCGGGTTCGCTCCCAACTCCGTGATGGCAGCGCAATCGTCAGCCTATGTGGCCAGGGTGGCGTCGGCAAGACGCTGCTCGCAGCGGATGTCGTGCATGACGCCGACTGCCGCCGCCAGTTTGCCGACGGCGTGATCTGGCTGCACGTGGGGCAGCGAGGCAGCGACCGGCTCGACAGCCTGATGGGGCGCGTGATAGCCGACGTGCAGACGCGGCTGCTCGGGCCGCGCTTCGATTCTCGGCCGCCTCCCTCAGACTGGAAGCGCGCAAAAGAGTGGCTCGCCAACACGCTCCGCTCTCGGCGGCTGCGCTGCCTGCTGGTCCTCGATGACGTGTGGTCCTCCGAGGTGGCCACGGTCTTCGCGGGTGTCGAGTCGATCGCGCTTCTCATAACGACGAGACAGTGCGAGGTTGCGGAGAGCGCGGCGCTGCTGATGCCCGGCTCATGCGCGCCGCCGATTCACATCGATTGCGTCGAGCCGCGCAGCCAGATGGCCAAGGAGATCTTCGCAACCGCCGCCAAGCTCGCCGTTTTGGATGTGCCCAGCTCTGCCGACGAGGTGCTCGACGCCTGCGCTGGGCTGCCAATGGCGCTGGCGATGGCGGGGGCGATGTGCGCCAGCCAGCCGAGCAGCAGCGAGGCGTGCTCAAAGCTAGCCGCTGACCACCGCGAGGCGAGGCTCGCCGAGCGGCTGCTGCAAGGGCCGTTCTACGCCGCTGACAAGCACGCGGACGCGCACCACCAGTCTTTGAGCGCAGTGATCAGCCTGTCGGTCACCCGCTTGCCGCCGAAGGCGCAGGCGCTCTTTCCAGCGCTCGCGCTGACGCCGCAGAGGCTGCCCCTCGAGCGCAGCCTGCTCGCACAGCTGTGGGACCTAGACAGCAGCGAGACGGAGAGCGTGGTTGAAGAGCTGCGGTCGCACTCTCTCCTCAGCAGCCGCGCCGACGGCAGCTGTCTGCTGCATGACCTCACGCACGCCTACTTGCAGCAGCGAGGCCCGCCGGCATGGGCTCTCGGGCGTTTCACCACCCATCTGACCTCTGCCGGGACACTCGATCGCCTTGCCGCAGAGAGGCACGCGGCGGGGCGGCCAATCCTCTACCAGCTGCTCGCGTGCATCCTTGAGGCTGAGCGGATGGGCTGGCACGCGGCGCAGGGTTACACGCGTATCGGCGAGGAGGAAGAGAAGGCGGCGGCGAAGGCGGCGGAGCGAGGCGAGACGCCAACGGCGGGCGACGGCAAGCTTGTGGAGCGGCTGGAGGCCGCCTCGGACCTCTTGAAGCACCTGTCCGGCAGGGTCAATTTCGAGGGGAGCGTCAAGCTGCTGCGGCGCGCAGTGGCCATCGAGGAGCAGCTCGAGGGGACGCGCTCGGGCCAGGGCGGCCGCTCGAGGCTGCCCGGCCTGCTCAACAGCCTGGGGAGTGCGCTCCGGGTGCTGGCCGAGCAGGCGGAGCTGCTGCGAGCGGAGCTGCTCGAGGAGGCGATGCGGTCGCTCGAGCGCGGGTTGGGGATTCGGAGGATGGAGCTCGGCGGGACGGATAACACCAAGTGCGCTTCCGCAATGTCCAAGATGGCTGCCGTCCTCAAGATGCAGGTCAAGCTGGACGATGCCGCCAAGCTGCTCGAGAAGGCGGCCAAGATCGAGAAGAATGAGCTCGGTGCCGACAGCCCGACCCTGGCACTCACGCTCTACCACCTCGGGGGCGTCCTCGAAGAGCAGGGCCGGCTGGTCGAGTCGCTCGAACAGTATCGCAATGCGGTGTTGATTGCGAAGCAGTCGCTGGGGACGGAGCACGTCGACTATGCGCGGTACCAGGTGGGCACTGCGCGGGTGCTACAGCGGATGGGCAAGGACGACGATGCGCTCGACTTGTACACGCGCGCGCTGCACATCTATCAGAAGTGGTTCGGTCCAAGCCACTGCCACACCATGACTTGCCGCCAGCGGATCATCGATCTCGCCGGCGCCAGCGAGTACCAGGCAGGGACCAGCCCCCGCGCTGAGGCTTTGCCCGCTGCCGCCCAGCGCATCGCGCTCTCCCTCCAGGGCTCGCTGAGCATGCTCAGTGCGCGTGCGGGAGCCTGCTCCGTCGCCGTCAGCTGCGGCGACATGGCCGCGGTGGCAGCCTACCGCGCGGAGATTGCAAACACCCTGCAGCAGCTTCAGCTCTTTGAGGCGGCTTGTGGCTGCGGCGGCTCGGCCGGCAAGGATGACGACGGCGTCCCCGCGTGTGCGTAACTGTCGCCGCGCCAGCCCGCCAGTACAGTACACAGGTGAGTGCTAGTAGTAGTGCGCGAGGGACTCCACAGTCGTGCTCCTAACTAAGCTTCTTATTTTTGAAGGCAGTTCAGTCTAAAATTCTTTGTTTGCACGTGTTACCGGTAGTGCCAGTGCGCGCCAGTCCCGTGCCTATAAGTGTCGTGCGAGGGAGTTTTGTCGTAAAATTCTTTCCCCCCCGCCCCGCGGTCGGTTTCTTTTCCTTGTTCTTTCCGGGTTTTGTTTTTTTTGGAAAAAAGAAATAAAGAAAACAGACACCCCAAGGGAGGGATGGGAGAACGGCACGCCGCCACCACACAGGGATTCTAAGGAGAGGAGTGTGGTGCTAGCCGACGCCCACCCTCGGGCGTCTACCACTTCCTATCTCTCTCCGCAGTTTTTAAAACTCCGTTTCTTACTGTCTATGTTCTTTTTTTGAAGTGACGCGTCCCAGCCCCGTCCATCGGGCCCCGTCCACTCTAAGGGAGCATGTGCATGCTCCGCCAGCACATGCGCTCGCCTCCCTCGGGATCGAACCCGAAGTCCAGCTCCGTGGCAGCGGCGCCAGCAAGAGGGTGTATTCTGGGCGCGTAGCCGCCACCAACGAGCCGGTCGCACTTGTCTCTGCGCCGAACGACACGTACGAGCGAGAGAACGAGGTCTTCATCCGCCTTGGCAACAACCCTCCGCACCCGTCGCTTGTGCTCGCACGTGCCGCCTG